GCAATTATATCATTAACTGGTATGTGTTTAGGTGTGACTGCAAAGTTTAGACCTTTAGCTAAAACGGATTTCAGACCATCGGAAATAGAACTGTTACTGCGATTAATTACGACTTTATTAACGTCTAACTTTTTGGTGTGTGGGTCCGGTCTTTTGTTGAAGAGGAGGTTAAATTTGGAAATCAGGTTTTCCTTACATTTGGTCGACATAGTAGCAGCTGAAGAGGCAGTCATATTGTCTACATGTTACCAATCCGATGTGGACATTATTGCCGTCAATGATAAGTGTGATTTGTAGAGTGTCTTGTCTAACTGATCTAGTTCTGTGCGTATAAGTCTGATTTTTTCTGAGATAAGAGCTAAGCTAGTTTTGAAAAGAATTCGTTTCGCATTAGAAGAAGTTACAGCAGCAGAGGTCAGTGTAAATGCGATTGGTATTACCCCAGAGTCGCGGCATCTCTTCAGGAAGGTGAGAGACTCGATCAGCTGAGCTTTCTTATCCCGGAGTTTGTTGAAGGATCTTAAAGTTATGTGAAAACCCTCCCCGTAGAGGCGATTAAATTTTAATTTAAAGCTTTCGTGACTGCAGTAATTCATATTCTTAGTTTTTTCGGTAAAGTCACGTTGAAGAGAAACAACAAAATAATAAAATATATATAAAACAATAAAAATTCTCACGACGTTTCGACCATAACTCAAACGGTCATCTTCAGGTGTGTCGGTTTGCATAAATTTATTTTTAAGCCATCTGGCTTCCATGAGAGATTCGTTCATGAGGCTATCCACATATACAAGCACAGAGACAATTTCAACCGAGAAGGTGGATTCTATCTTAGCAATCATTGGAAAGATTTGATAAACCATTTCAGTTCTTAATTGATTGTTCACGCTTACATTGGCTTTCAGACAGCATACATTTTAAAATTTCGTCTCCCCCCTCCTCTTTTCAAAATATAGATGGACTAGTCCTGGGTAAACTGCCAAATCACTTCGCGTGACGCTAACGGCTTTTTTATTTTATTATTATTTATTTATAAATAAATAAATGCGCAGTTTGAAAATAAATTTATGCAAACCGACACACCTGAAGATGACCGTTTGAGTTATGATCGAAACGTCGTGAGAATTTTTTATTGTTTTATATATATTTTATTATTTTGTTGTTTCTCTTCAACGTGACTTTACCGAAAAAACTAAGAATATGAATTACTGCAGTCATGAAAGCTTTAAATCAAAACCTCTGACCTGACACGGGAGATCTAGAGGTAAAAACCTCTGACCTGACACGGGAGATCTAGAGGTAAAAAAACCTCTGACCTGACACGGGAGATCTAGAGGTAAAAAACCTCTGACCTGACACGGGAGATCTAGAGGTAAAAACCTCTGACCTGACACGGGAGATCTGGAGGTAAAAAACCTCTGACCTGACACGGGAGATCTAGAGGTAAAAACCTCTGACCTGACACGGGAGATCTAGAGGTAAAAACCTCTGACCTGACACGGGAGATCTAGAGGTAAAAAAACCTCTGACCTGACACGGGAGATCTAGAGATAAAAAAACCTCTGACCTGATACGGGAGATCTAGAGGTAAAAACCTCTGACCTGACACAGGAGATCTAGAGGTAAAAAACCTCTGACCTGACACGGGAGATCTAGAGGTAAAAAAACCTCTGACCTGACACGGGAGATCTAGAGGTAAAAAAGCCTCTGACCTGACACGGGAGATCTAGAGGTAAAAAACCTCTGACCTGACACGGGAGATCTAGAGGTAAAAAAACCTCTGACCTGACACGGGAGATCTAGAGGTAAAAACCTCTGACCTGACACGGGAGATCTAGAGGTAAAAAACCTCTGACCTGACACGGGAGATCTAGAGGTAAAAAACCTCTGACCTGACACGGCAGATCTAGAGGTAAAAACCTCTGACCTGACACGGGAGATCTAGAGGTTAAAACCTCTGACCTGACACGGGAGATCTAGAGGTAAAAAAACCTCTGACCTGACACGGGAGATCTAGAGGTAAAAACCTCTGACCTGACACGGGAGATCTAGAGGTAAAAACCTCTGACCTGACACGGGAGATCTAGAGGTAAAAAACCTCTGACCTGACACGGGAGATCTAGAGGTAAAAAACCTCTGACCTGACACGGGAGATCTAGAGGTAAAAACCTCTGACCTGACACGGGAGATCTAGAGGTAAAAACCTCTGACCTGACACGGGAGATCTAGAGGTAAAAACCTCTGACCTGACACGGGAGATCTAGAGGTAAAAACCTCTGACCTGACACGGGAGATCTAGAGGTAAAAACCTCTGACCTGACACGGGAGATCTAGAGGAAAAAACCTCTGACCTGACACGGGAGATCTAGAGATAAAAAATCTCTGACCTGACACGGGAGATCTAGAGGTAAAAAAACCTCTGACCTGACACGGGAGATCTAGAGGTAAAAACCTCTGACCTGACACGGGAGATCTAGAGGTAAAAACCTCTGACCTGACACGGGAGATCTAGAGGTAAAAAACCTCTGACCTGACACGGGAGATCTAGAGGTAAAAAAACCTCTGACCTGACACGGGAGATCTAGAGGTAAAAACCTCTGACCTGACACGGGAGATCTAGAGGTAAAAACCTCTGACCTGACACGGGAGATCTAGAGGTAAAAAACCTCTGACCTGACACGGGAGATCTAGAGGTAAAAAACCTCTGACCTGACACGGGAGATCTAGAGGTAAAAACCTCTGACCTGACACGGGAGATCTAGAGGTAAAAAACCTCTGACCTGACACGGGAGATCTAGAGGTAAAAAACCTCTGACCTGACACGGGAGATCTAGAGGTAAAAAACCTCTGACCTGACACGGGAGATCTAGAGGTAAAAAACCTCTGACCTGACACGGGAGATCTAGAGGTTAAACCTCTGACCTGACACGGGAGATCTAGAGGTAAAAAACCTCTGACCTGACACGGGAGATCTAGAGGTTTAACCTCTGACCTGACACGGGAGATCTAGAGGTAAAAAACCTCTGACCTGACACGGGAGATCTAGAGGTTTAACCTCTGACCTGACACGGGAGATCTAAAGGTAAAAAACCTCTGACCTGACACGGGAGATCTAGAGGTAAAAAACCTCTGACCTGACATGGGAGATCTAGAGGTAAAAACCTCTGACCTGACACGGGAGATCTACAGGTTTAACCTCTGACCTGACACGGGAGATCTACAGGTTTAACCTCTGACCTGACACGGGAGATCTACAGGTTTAACCTCTGACCTGGCACGGGAGATCTAGAGGTAAAAAACTTGCGACCTGACACGGGAGATCTAGAGGTAAAAAAACCTCTGACCTGACACGGGAGATCTAGAGGTAAAAACCTCTGACCTGACACGGGAGATCTAGAGGTAAAAAACCTCTGACCTGACACGGGAGATCTAGAGGTAAAAACCTCTGACCTGACACGGGAGATCTAGAGGTAAAAACCTCTGACCTGACACGGGAGATCTAGAGGTAAAAAAACCTCTGACCTGACACGGGAGATCTAGAGGTAAAAAACCTCTGACCTGACACGGGAGATCTAGAGGTAAAAACCTCTGACCTGACACGGGAGATCTAGAGGTAAAAAACCTCTGACCTGACACGGGAGATCTAGAGGTAAAAACCTCTGACCTGACACGGGAGATCTAGAGGTAAAAAACCTCTGACCTGACACGGGAGATCTAGAGGTAAAAACCTCTGACCTGACACGGGAGATCTAGAGGTAAAAACCTCTGACCTGACACGGGAGATCTAGAGGTAAAAAACCTCTGACCTGACACGGGAGATCTAGAGGTAAAAACCTCTGACCTGACACGGGAGATCTAGAGGTAAAAACCTCTGACCTGACACGGGAGATCTAGAGGTAAAAACCTCTGACCTGACACGGGAGATCTAGAGGTAAAAAACCTCTGACATGACACGGGAGATCTAGAGGTAAAAACCTCTGACCTGACACGGGAGATCTAGAGGTAAAAAACCTCTGACCTGACACGGGAGATCTAGAGGTAAAAACCTCTGACCTGACACGGGAGATCTAGAGGTAAAAAACCTCTGACCTGACACGGGAGATCTAGAGGTAAAAACCTCTGACCTGACACTGGAGATCTAGAGGTAAAAACCTCTGACCTGACACGGGAGATCTAGAGGTAAAAAACCTCTGACCTGACACGGGAGATCTAGAGGTAAAAAACCTCTGACCTGACACGGGAGATCTAGAGGTAAAAACCTCTGACCTGACACGGGAGATCTAGAGGTAAAAAACCTCTGACCTGACACGGGAGATCTACAGGTTAAAACCTCTGACCTGACACGGGAGATCTAGAGGTTTAACCTCTGACCTGACACGGGAGATCTAGAGGTTTAACCTCTGACCTGACACGGGGGATCTAGAGGTTTAACCTCTGACCTGACACGGGAGATCTAGAGGTTTAACCTCTGATCTGACACGCGGGATCTAGAGGTTTAACCTCTGACTTGACACCGGAGATTACGAGGTTAAAAAAAACCTCTCAATCCGACAGGAAAATTAAAAAACCCCTTTGTAATAATAAAAATATAGAACAATGTTTCACATGTTTTATATAAAACAATGTCTTACATTTTTTTAAAATCATTTTATTGTTTTCCCTTCTACGTGGTGCTGACTTTACCGAAATAACCAATAATATGAATCCCTGCGGTTACGAAAGCTTTAAATAAATGAAATAAAATAAATAAAATATTTAAAAATCCCTCTGGTCTAGGCACCCGACTTGCGTGACGTCACCGCCGCCCCGGTCCACTTTCCCATTCGTGGACGCAAGATGGGAGGGGCCACAATATATAAAAAACAATGTTTTACATTTTTTAAAATCATTTTATTGTTTTCCCTTCTACGTGGTGGTGACTTTACCGAAAGAACCAATAATATGAATCCCTGCGGTTACGAAAGCTTTAAATAAAAAAAATAAAAAATAAAAATTATTTAAAAAATCCTCTGGTCTAGGCACCCGACTTGCGTGACGTCACCGCCGCCCCGGTCCACGTTCCCGTGCGTGGACACAAGATGGGAGGCGCCACCATCGCCGTGCTCGGAGGGGGGATTTCGGGGCTCGCCAGCGCCTATTACGCCGCGCGTGCAGGCGGCGCCGTTAAGAAGGTACCGTCCAACCCCCTTCTCTCTCGCGGTGAACCCCGGGTGGTTTTTTTAAGAAGAAGAATTATTAACTTCATTAAGAATATCGTGCGCCGTGCCAGTCGCGAACCCCACCGACACCCCCCGCGCGCCAAAGTGGACAGCGCCACCTATCGGGGAGGGTGGGGGGGAGAGAGAGAGAGAGAGAGGGGGGGGAGGGTGTCAACAATGGACGCTTCTTCAACGCGGGGTTCAACGGCGGTCGCCGAATCGCGTTTTTCGCCGCCCCGTAACTCGCGGGCGCAAAGTCGCCGCCGCTCCAAATTCGGCCACGCGAGAGACGACCGGTGGGTTCGCGTGCCTGTCGAGTTTCACGGTCGCGCGCCTGAGGTTTGCGGAGTTACGGCGTCGCAGAGGTGGGCTTGCTGGTGTCTGCGAGCACAATATTAAGGCCGGTGCCGCGCTTGGCTCTAGCAGCCGCGTGGTCTCCCCACTCCACGTTACTGTGACGAGAGCCGTCGGGTAATTGAACGGCTTCAACGGCCACTGTTGATGTCATCCGAGGTGTCTAGGGGTCCATGACACTTTGCGTGGTACCTATTTTATTCACCTCAGTTGATGATGGTGGTGGTGTGGTGGTGATGGTGGTGATGTGGTTGGTGATTATAATGGTGGTGATGGTGACGATGTGATTGGTGGTGATTGTGGTGATGGTGGTGGTGATGATTATGGTGTGGTGGTGATGATGTGGTTGTTGGTGATTGTGGTGGTGATGATGATTGTGGTGGTGATGATGTGGTTGGTGGTGATTGTGGTGATGGTGGTGATGATTATGGTGTGGTGATAATGGTGATGATGTGGTTGTTGGCGATTGTAGTGATGATGATGATGATTGTGGTGGTGACGATGTGGTTGGTGGTGATTGTGGTGATGGTGGTGGTAATGATGTGGTTGTTGGCGATTGTTGTGATGGTGGTGGTGATGATTGTGGTGATGATGGTGTGGTGGTGACGATGTGGTTGGTGGTGATTATGGTGATGATGTGGTTGTTGGCGATTGTAGTGATGGTTGGTGGTGGTGGTGATGATGATGATGGTGTGGTGGTGATGATGTTGGTGATGGTATGGTGATAGTGGTGATGATGATTGTGATGATGGTGGTGATGATGTGGTTGGTGGTGATAGTGGTGGTGTGGTGATAGTGGTGATGGTTGTCTGTAGTGGTCTCATCGTGTTCTGCGTCAATCTACTCTGCTATAGGCTTCGCTTTATAAGTGTGTAGTAATAATAATAGTCCTCTTCTCGATGCATTATCAATCTGTGTGATTGCTTGGGTCTCCTATAAGCCTGTGGGCCGACTGTGTAAGTCTATGCTGCCCTATGGAATTTACTGCAAATCTAATTAATATTTCAGTCTGTGCGACTATGCGACTTTGGTGTAAGCTTATCGGGGCGGGGGGGGGGTCTCTATAAGTCTGCGTTAATATATCATAATCAGAATCTGGAAGAATCCGATGAGCTTCAAAGCTCTTTGCTCACAGATGTTCAGTAGGGGGCACGGGGTGGTAAGAACAAATCGTACCCTCCCCCAACCGCCCCCCCCCCCCAAAAAAAAAACGTAGGCGTGAGGTTTCGACTATTCGTCAGGTTCACAGCAGTTCTTGAGAACACCAACACAAAAAAACACAACCCTCCCCCCCACACCCCCCACTTTGTCTACCCCCCCCCCAGTTGCCCCCCATCCTTGCGTGATCCACCAGCCCCTGCCCCGACGACGTGCGTGGCTGGGGTCCCGGGTGTTGTGTAACCGCCCACTTCTTTGGTGGCCCCGTTGAGCAACGGAGGATTTCGGGGGCTTCGCTTTTTTTTACTTTTATCGGTTGACATTGGCCAGAGAGTCGAACAGACAAAGATCTCTCTCCCTCTCTCTCCCTCTCGGCCCGGAGAGTTTTTGCTGATGCCACGACCACCACCACCAACACCGCCACCGCCAGCAACCACCATTTGGCGGTCGCAGAATCAGAATATTTCTTTATACCGGAGGAATCTGATGAGCTACAAAGCTCTTTTTTTCACAGATCGTCCAGTACTCTCTGGTTCTCTCGGTGAAGTCGCATAGATAGAAAAAATAATAAAAGAAAACACGACGTTTCGGTCGCAACACGAGCGGCTGTCTTCAGATGTCCAGTAGTTTTTCACAGATATTCCAGTAGTTTTTCACAGATAGTCCGGTAGTTTTTCACAGATAGTCCGGTAGTTTTTCACAGATAGTCCGGTAGTTTTTCACAGATAGTCCGGTAGTTTTTCACAGATAGCCCAGTAGTTTTTCACAGGTAGTCCAGTAGTTTTTCACAGATAGTCCAGTAGTTTTTCACAGATAGTCCAGTAGTTTTTCACAGATAGTCCAGTAGTTTTTCACAGAAAGTCCAGTAGTTTTTCACAGAAAGTCCAGTAGTTTTTCACAGGTAGTCCAGTAGTTTTTCACAGGTAGTCCAGTAGTTTTTCACAGGTAGTCCAGTAGTTTTTCACAGGTAGTCCAGTAGTTTTTCACAAATGTCCAGTCTTTTTTCACAGATCGTCCAGTAGTTTTTCACAGGTAGTCCAGTAGTTTTTCACAGGTAGTCCAGTAGTTTTTCACAGGTAGTCCAGTAGTTTTTCACAGGTAGTCCAGTAGTTTTTCACAAATGTCCAGTCTTTTTTCACAGATCGTCCAGTAGTTTTTCACAGATAGTCCAGTAGTTTTTCACAGGTAGTCCAGTAGTTTTTCACAGATATTCCAGTCTTTTTTCACAGATCGTCCAGTAGTTCGCTTGATGATGGTTCATGCTCCTTGACGAGATCGGCGAGGTATCACAGTTCATTTGTTGCAAGTACTTTGTGTGCAATGAGTGCGACCTTGTAACGTACAGGGATTTCCTCTACTTCTGAACATTCGACTTACGAACTTTCAGAGATAAGAACAGACCTGTCCTGTGTGTCCGGTTGCCTGTTCAGGCCGAGAGTCGTAAGTTCAACTGCTACACAATAAATCGCGGTGGAAGCATCTACATCTGCAGAACGTGAAGAACCAGTGTGGCATCTACATTTGCAGAACGTGAAGAACCAGTGTGGCATCTACATTTGCAGAACGTGAAGAACCAGTGGCCTCTGCATCTGCAGAACGTGAAGAACCAGTGGCATCTACATCTACAGAACGTGAAGAACCAGTGGCATCTACATCTACAGAATGTGAAGAACCAGTGGCATCTACATCTGCAGAACGTGAAGAACCAGTGGCATCTACATCTGCAGAACGTGAATAACCAGTGTGGCATCTACATCTGCAGAACGTGAAGAACCAGTGGCATCTACATTTATAGAACGTGAAGAACCAGTGGCCTCTGCATCTGCAGAATGTGAAGAACGAGTGGCCTCTGCATCTGCAGAATGTGAAGAACCAGTGGCATCTACATCTGCAGAACGTGAAGAACCAGTGGCATCTACATCTGCAGAACGTGAAGAACCAGTGGCATCTACATCTACAGAACGTGAAGAACCAGTGGCATCTACATCTGCAGAACGTGAAGAACCAGTGGCATCTACATCTGCAGAACGTGAATAACCAGTGTGGCATCTACATCTGCAGAACGTGAAGAACCAGTGGCATCTACATTTATAGAACGTGAAGAACCAGTGGCCTCTGCATCTGCAGAATGTGAAGAACGAGTGGCCTCTGCATCTGCAGAATGTGAAGAACCAGTGGCATCTACATCTGCAGAACGTGAAGAACCAGTGGCATCTACATCTGCAGAACGTGAAGAACCAGTGTGGCATCTACATCTGCACAACGTGAAGAACCAGTGGCATCTACATCTGCAGAACGTGAAGAACCAGTGGCATCTACATCTGCAGAACGTGAAGAACCAGTGGCATCTACATCTGCAGAACGTGAAGGACCAGTGGCATCTACATCTGCAGAACGTGAAGAACCAGTGGCATCTACATCTACAGAACGTGAAGAACCAGTGGCATCTACATCTGCAGAACGTGAAGAACCAGTGTGGCATCTACATTTGCAGAACGTGAAGAACCAGTGGCCTCTGCATCTGCAGAACGTGAAGAACCAGTGGCATCTACATCTACAGAACGTGAAGAACCAGTGGCATCTACATCTACAGAACGTGAAGGACCAGTGGCATCTACATCTGCAGAACGTGAAGAACCAGTGGCATCTACATCTACAGAACGTGAAGAACCAGTGGCATCTACATCTGCAGAACGTGAAGAACCAGTGGCATCTACATCTGCAGAACGTGAATAACCAGTGTGGCATCTACATCTGCAGAACGTGAAGAACCAGTGGCATCTACATTTATAGAACGTGAAGAACCAGTGGCCTCTGCATCTGCAGAACGTGAAGAACCAGTGGCCTCTGCATCTGCAGAATGTGAAGAACCAGTGGCATCTACATCTGCAGAACGTGAAGAACCAGTGGCATCTACATCTGCACAACGTGAAGAACCAGTGGCATCTACATCTGCAGAACGTGAAGAACCAGTGGCATCTACATCTGCAGAACGTGAAGGACCAGTGGCATCTACATCTGCAGAACGTCAAGAACCAGTGGCATCTACATTTACAGAACGTGAAGAACCAGTGGCATCTACATCTGCAGAACGTGAAGAACCAGTGTGGCATCTACATTTGCAGAACGTGAAGAACCAGTGGCCTCTGCATCTGCAGAACGTGAAGAACCAGTGGCATCTACATCTGCAGAACGTGAAGAACCAGTGGCATCTACATCTGCAGAACGTGAAGAACCAGTGTGGCATCTACATCTGCAGAACGTAAAGGACCAGTGGCATCTACATCTGCAGAACGTGAAGAACCAGTGGCATCTACTTCTACAGAACATGAAGAACCAGTGTGGCATCTACATCTGCAGAACGTGAAGAACCAGTGGCATCTACTTCTACAGAACGTGAAGAACCAGTGGCATCTACATCTGCAGAACGTGAAGAACCAGTGTGGCATCTACATCTGCAGAACGTGAAGAACCAGTGGCATCTACATCTGCAGAACATGAAGAACCAGTGGCATCTACATCTACAGAACGTGAAGAACCAGCGGCATCTACATCTACAGAACGTGAAGAACCAGTGGCATCTACATCTACAGATCATGAAGCACCAGTGGCATCTACATCTGCAGGAGATTATACAACTTGTAATACCATTCCCCGTGTTTAGTGCACACGTTTGGAATGGACGGGAGTAAAGTTGGACTTAACGAACGGTACCTCTGGAACCCTACCTCGTTCGTAAGTCGAGGAGTCCCTGTTATTCGCTCGGCAACCGGAAGCGAGTGCACAGCACGTGCCCCGACAGCCTGCTGAAGGCTTTCTGGGTGGGATCTTTGTCTTCAGGTGGTGCTGCTGGAGGCTGGGCCCGTGCTGGGAGGCTGGGTGCGATCTTCGCGCTCCCCACAGGGGGCGGTGAGCGAACTCGGCCCGCGGAGCGTGAGGCCGAACGGACTGGTCGGGGGCAACACCCTGTGCCTGGTGACGACCGCACGACCGCCACGCGCGTCGCAACACCGCCACCCTCGCCGCAACACCGCCACCCTCGCTGCAACACCGCCACCCTAGCCGCAACACCGCCACCCTCGCTGCAACACCGCCACCCTCGCCGCAACACCGCCACCCTCGCTGCAACACCGCCACCCTCGCGCAACACCGCCACCCTCGCTGCAACACCGCCACCCTCGCTGCAACACCGCCACCCTCACTGCAACACCGCCACCCTCACCGCAACACCACCACCCTCGCCGCAACATCGCCACCCTCGCCGCAACACCGCCACCCTCGCCGCAACACCGCCACCCTCGCTGCAACACCGCCAACCTCGCCGCAACACCGCCACCCTCGCCGCAACACCGCCAACCTTGCCGCAACACCGCCACCCTCGCCGCAACACCGCCACCCTCGCCACAACACCGCCACCCTCACTGCAACACCGCCACCCTCGCCACAACACCGCCACCCTCGCCGCAACACCGCCACCCTCGCCACAACACCGCCAACCTCGCCGCAACACCGCCACGCGCGTCACAACACCGCCACCCTCGCCGCAACACCGCCACCCTCGCCACAACACCGCCAACCTCGCCGCAACACCGCCACCCTCGCCGCAACACCGCCACCCGCGCCGCAACACCGCCAACCTCGCCGCAACACCGCCACCCTCGCCGCAACACCGCCACCCTCGCCGCAACACCGCCACCCTCGCCACAACACCGCCACCCTCACTGCAACACCGCCACCCTCGCCACAACACCGCCACCCTCGCCGCAACACCGCCACCCTCGCCACAACACCGCCAACCTCGCCGCAACACCGCCACGCGCGTCACAACACCGCCACCCTCGCCGCAACACCGCCACCCTCGCCACAACACCGCCAACCTCGCCGCAACACCGCCACGCGCGTCACAACACTGCCGCCCTCGCCGCAACACCGCCACCCTCGCCACAACACCGCCAACCTCGCCGCAACACCGCCACGCGCGTCACAACACCGCCACCCTCGCCGCAACACCGCCACCCGTGTCGCAACACCACCACCCGTGTCGCAATACCGCCACCCACTCCAGAACACGGTGACAACACCACTCTCTACAACACGGTGACAACACCACGCTCGCCACAACACGGTGACAACACCACGCTCGCCACAACACGGTGACAACACCACCCTCGCCACAACACGGTGACAACACCACGCTCGCCACAACACGGTCACAACACCACGCTCGCCACAACACGGTGACAACACCACGCTCGCCACAACACGGTCGCAACACCACCCTCGCCACAACACGGTGACAACACCACGCTCGCCACAACACGGTGACAACACCACGCTCGCCACAACACGGTGACAACACCACGCTCTCCACTACACGGTGACAACACCACGCTCGCCACAACACGGTGACAACACCACTCTCGCCACAACACGGTGACAACACCACGCTCGCCACAACACGGTGACAACACCACGCTCGCCACAACACGGTGACAACACCACACTCGCCACAACACGGTGACAACACCACTCTCGCCACAACACGGTGACAACACCACGCTCGCCACAACACGGTGACAACACCACGCTCGCCACAACACGGTGACAACACCACGCTCTCCACTACACGGTGACAACACCACGCTCGCCACAACACGGTGACAACACCACTCTCGCCACAACACGGTGACAACACCACGCTCGCCACAACACGGTCGCAACACCACCCTCGCCACAACACGGTGACAACACCACGCTCGCCACAACACGGTGACAACACCACGCTCGCCACAACACGGTGACAACACCACGCTCTCCACTACACGGTGACAACACCACGCTCGCCACAACACGGTGACAACACCACGCTCGCCACAACACGGTGACAACACCACGCTCGCCACAACACCTCGCCTAGTTACGTACTCGCTCTCCACTGCACCTTCATCACAACCGACTCATCGACTCACTCGCTCACCCCCACTCCAAAGCCCACCCGCTCACCCTCCCCCTGTCTCTCTGTCTCTCCCCATCTTGTGTGGTTACGTTTATCTCTGCGTGTCTGCGCGTGTACCCGTGTCCACGTGCCTCCCTGTGCCTTTCTGCATCTCCCCGCTCGCCCTTGTCTCCCCACGCACCCGTCTCTCCCCACGTTTCCCTGCGTACCCGTGTCTCACTGCTCACCCACGTCTCCCGACGTGTCCCCCCTGCTTCCCTGTGTATCCGTGTCTCCCCCGCGTCTCCCCGTGTGTCTCCCCCGCGTCTCCCCGTGTGTCTCCCCGTGTGTCTCCCCCACGTCTCCCCGTGTGTCTCCCCGTGTGTCTCCCCGTGTGTCTCCCCCACGTCTCCCCGTGTGTCTCCCCCGCGTCTCCCCGTGTGTCTCCCCCGCGTCTCCCCGTGTGTCTCCCCCGCGTCTCCCCGTGTGTCTCCCCGTGTGTCTCCCCCACGTCTCCCCGTGTGTCTCCCCCGCGTCTCCCCGGGTGTCTCCCCCACGTCTCCCCGTGTGTCTCCCCGTGTGTCTCCCCCACGTCTCCCCGTGTGTCTCCCCCGCGTCTCCCCCGCGTCTCCCCGTGTGTCTCCCCCGCGTCTCCCCCGCGTCTCCCCGCGTCTCCCCGTGTCTCCCCGTGTGTCTCCCCGTGTGTCTCCCCCACGTCTCCCCGTGTGTCTCCCCCTCGTCTCCCCGTGTGTCTCCCCCGCGTCTCCCCATGTGTCTCCCCCGCGTCTCCCCCCGTGTCTCTCCCCCGTGTCTCCCCGTGTCTCCCCCCGTGTGTCTCCCCGTGTGTCTCCCCCCAGCGTCTCCCCGTGTCTCCCCGTGTGTCTCCCCCCCCCGTCTCCCCGTGTCTCCCCCCCGCGTTTCCCCGTGTGTCTCCCCGTGTGTCTCCCCCCCCCCGCGTCTCCCCGTGTGTCAACTCGTAGCTCTCCGATCTGGGCCTCTCTGACTCGGTGCTCCCAGTGACGCGAGCGTCTCCAGCCGCCAAGAACCGCTTCGTGTTCACGGGGGGCACCCTGCACACCCTCCCCAACTCGCTGTGGTGAGACGGAGCCCTCGCACGGATATACAGGCCGAACACTGCACGCTGACCGCTGCACTTGACGCTAACACTACACAGAACGCTAACGCTATACATAACGCTACCCCTTACACGCAACACTACCCCTACACACAACCCTACCCCTACACACAACACTACCCCTACACACAACACTACCCCTACACACAACACTACCCCTACACACAACACTACCCCTACACACAACACTACCCCTACACACAACCCTACCCCTACACACAACACTACCCCTACACACAACACTACCCCTACACACAACACCACCCCCGTCCACGACGCTACCCCTACACACAACGCTACCCCTACACACAATGCTACCCCTACACACAACACTACCACTACACACAACACTACCCCTACACACAACACTACCCCTACACACAACACTACCCCTACACACAACACTACCCCTACACACAACACTACCCCTACACACAACACTACCCCTACACACAACGCTACCCCTACACACAACGCTACCCCTACACACAACGCTAACGCTATACATAACGCTACCCCTTACACGCAACACTACCCCTACACACAACGCTACCCCTACACACAACACTACCCCTACACACAACACTACCCCCGTCCACGACGCTACCCCTACACACAACGCTACCGCTACATACAACACTACCCCTACACACGACACTACCCCTACACACAACGCTACCGCTACATACAACGCTACCGCTACATACAACACTACCCCTACACACGACACTACCCCTACACACAACGCTACCGCTACATACAACGCTACCGCTACACACGAGGCTACCCCTACACACAACACTACCCCTACACACAACACTACCCCTACACACAACGCTACCGCGACACACAACACTACCCCTATACACGACACTAACTTTATACCTACCACTAACACTGCCCCTGTACTTAAAACTAACACTACTAATATACCTAACACTAACTTTATACCTACCACTAATACTGCCCCCTATACTTGAAACTAACACTACTAATATACCTAACACTACCCCTGTACCGAACACGAACCCTCTTCTAACATACACGCTCGCTCGCCCGCCTACGCACCCGCTCACCCGCCCACCCACCCGCTCGTCCACCCACCCGCCCACCCACCCGCTCGTCCACCCACCCGCTCGCCCGCTCGCCCACGTGCCCACTCGCTCACGGGTAAGTTAAAGAACGCTCCTCACAACGCCGACATCGCGGCCGTCTGCTCCGGACAGATCGCCGTTTCGGACCAACGATCAACATTCCAGACCGCCGTCCGCATCACGCTTTGTTCTGTCCGCACTGTGCCCACCCCCGCCCCCCACCCCCTCCTCCTCTCTCTCAACCATTACCCCGCCCCGCCTCCACCCCGCAGGACTGCCCTGAGCCGGCGGCCCCCCTTCTCGCGCCCCCTCGCGTGGCACGTGCTGCGGGAGCCGTTCGTCCGCGGGGGCGGCGATGGCAGCGGTGGCGACGACTTCAGCGTGGACGCGCTGGCCCGGCACAGGCTCGGGGACGAGGTCACACGAAAGAAACGCGCACACACGCTCGCGTACACACACTCGCGTGTACACACACGCTCGCACACACACGCACGCTCGCACACACACTCACGCTCGCGTACACACACACACACTCGCGTGTACACGCACGCACGCTCGCGTACACACACTCGCACTCGCTTGTACACACACGCACGCTCGCACACACACGCACTCGCGCACACACACACACACACACTCGCGCGTACACACACACACTCGCACGTACACACACTCGCGTGTACACACACACACTCGCACGTACACACACTCGCGTGTACACACACACGCGTGTACACACACATACTCGTGCCTACAAATTCACACACACACAGCTTTAACAGACTGTAGGGGCAAGTGCTGTTAGCGAGCAGCACCACCTATGAAGGCCGGTGTGGCACACGAGGGGATGGGTGGCCAGCACCACGCCCGACCGCCTTTGTCTCCCCAGTGGCGATGTTTACTACACACTGCACCAGGTACTCATTTGAGGCTGAGTCGACCTAGGGGAGGCCTAGGACCGGTTCAGATAATCGTCACTGGTGGTGAGCGGGAATCGAACTCGGGTCATCGGGTTCGTAGCACAGCGTAGCGCTAACCGCTACACCACCGCTCCCCATATACATGCATGCGTGTGTGTATGTGTGTGCTCTCCCCTCACCCTCCCCCTCTCCCCTCGCTCTCCCCTCGCTCTCCCCTCACTCTCCTCACTCTCCCCTCGCTCTCCCCTCACTCTCCTCACTCTCCCCTCGCTCTCCCCTCGCCCTCCCCCCGCTCTCCCCTCCCGCGTGCGTGTCCCCACAGCTGGCGGACTGGCTGCTGGACCCGCTGTGCCGCGGCGTGTTTGCCGGCGACAGCCGCCGGCTGAGCGTGCGCTGCTGCTTCCCCGCTCTCTACCGTGCCGTCGCCCTCCACGGGTCCATCGTGGGCGGCTCGCTCCTCTCCCGCGAGCCAGGTGCTACGCCCGGACTGCGACCCCCAACGACGACCCCCAACGACGACCCCCAACGACCCCCAACGACGACCCCCAACGACGACCCGCACCGATGACCCCCAACGAACCCCGCCGACGACCCCCAACGACGACTCCCAACGACCCCCAACGACGACCCCCAACGATGACCCCCAACGACCCCCGACAACGACCCCCAACGACCCCCAACGACCCCCAACGACAACCCCCAACGACCCCCAACGACCCCCAACGACAACCGCCAACGACCCCTGCCAACGACCCCCAACGACGACCCCCGCCGATGACCCCCAACGACCCCCGACAACGACCCCCGCCGTTCTCCACCGGGGCGGCGGCGGCGGCGCTCTGGCCGGGCCGCTCACACGTTTAGTCCGGCGTGAAGCGCACGAACGCCCCCTTAGGTCACAGGGCGCACCCCAGGCGCCACGGGTTGACCGACTGAGACTGACCCGATGCATCATCATCTGTGCCCCCACCCCACCCACCCCACCCCATCAAACCCCCCCCCCCCGCCCCCCCCCCCCCCCGAATTTAATGTCGTAGGCTTACGACGACCCACCAGCCTGCTCTCCTTTGTAAACGTCAAGGGTTTTCGTAACGCGACGGCGGATGTCCGGTGGAGGATCCAAACCGCGCAGCGGTTTGGTCGTCAAGAAAGTTTTTTGGGGAAATGCGCGTTGGAGGGCTCAATTAAGCTCCGGCAAAAAGTTCGTGTTAATACTTAAAACAGCGCGATGTTAACACGTACGGACACTCACGGCATTATGAGCACGTGATATTACCAGAAACGCGGTTAATCGATGCATTGATTAATATCTACTGTGGCCACAACGGCCCCATCTTTAACAGGGGAATGGTGGGTAAGCGAAAACACTATACACTACACTATACACCACTATACACTGCACTACTATACACTACACTATACACTACTATACACTACACTACTATACACTATACTACTCTACACTATACACTACACTACTATACACTACACTACTATACACTACAATACACTACTATACACTACTCTACACTATAAACTACTATACACTACACTACTATACACTACACTATACACTACTATACACTACTCTACACTACACTATACACTACACTATACACTACACCACTATACACTACACTACTATACACTACACTACTATACACTACACTATACACTACACTATACACTACTCTACACTACTCTACACTATACACTACTATACACTATACTACTATACACTACAGTATACACTACACTATTACACTACACTGTATACTACACTACTATACACTATACTACTATACACTACTCTACACTACTATACACTACTCTACACTATAAACTACTATACACTACACTACTATACACTACACTATACACTACTATACACTACTCTACACTACACTATACACTACACTACACACTACACTACACTATACACTACACCACTATACACTACACTACTATACACTACACTACTCTACACTACACTACTATACACTACACTACTATACACTACACTATACACTACACTATACACTACTCTACACTACTCTACTATACACTATACTACTATACACTACAGTATACACTACACTATACACTACTATACACTACTCTACACTACACTATACACTGCACTATTATACACTGCACTACTATACACTATACTACTATACACTACACTATACACTGCACTATTATACACTATACTACTATACACTACACTACTATACACTATACTACTATACACTACACTGTACACTGCACTATTATACACTGCACTACTATACACTATACTACTATACACTACTATACACTATACTACTATACACTACACTATACACTGCACTACTATACACTCTACTACTATACACTACTATACACTATACTACTATACACTACACTATACACTGCACTACTATACTACTATACACTATACTACTATACACTATACTACTATACACTATACTACTATACACTACACCAGGGGTCGGGAACCTATGGCTCGCGAGCCAGATGTGGCTCTTTTGATGATTGCATATGGCTCGCAGATAAAACAAAATATTCTCACTTGTTTTAATCCATCCATCGATTTTTCACTGCGCATGTCCTGTTCAGGGCTGCAGGAGCAATTGTCCATTATTTTAATTGGATGATACTGGCCTACGTTTGCCGTTGCTGGGTAAAACAGGTAAACGCCCCCTTTTGAATCAGTCTGAGACTGCGTCTGCTCGGTCATTAGCTCAAAGCTAACCCTTCGACGAAGAAGATGGCGAAAAGAAAAAAAGACGACGAGTATCGTACATTTCAGGACGAATGGACCGAAGAATTCGCCTTTGTGGAGAGAGCGGGTTCTGCGGTGTGTCTAATTTGCAATGACAAAATTACATCGTTGAAACGGTCGAATGTAAAGCGGCACTTCGACACGCGCCACGCTACCTTTGCATCAAAATACCCTGCGGGAGACAGCAGAAAGAAAGCGTGCCAAGAGCTTCTGAGCAGGGTGCAAGCTAGCCAGCAGCAACTCCGCGTATGGACCCGGCAAGGTGACTATAATTCGGCTAGCTTTGCTGGTTCTTTAGCAATAGTGAGGAACGGAAAACCATTCACAGATGGCGAGTATGCTAAAACGTTCATGCTGGATGTAGCCAATGAACTTTTTGATGATCTTCCGAACAAAGACAAGATAATCAAACGGATACAAGACATGCCTCTGTCGGCAAGAACTGTTCATGATCGTACCATCGTGATGGCAAACAAAGTGGAGGAAACGCAAGTGAAGGACATAAATGCAGCGCCGTTCTTTTCTCTGGCTTTGGATGAGTCAACAGACGTGAGCCATTTGTCGCAGTTCAGCGTGATTGCAAGATATGCTGTTGGTGACACACTGCGCGAAGAAAGTCTTGCTATTCTGCCATTAAAAGGGTCCACAAGAGGTGAGGATTTATTCAAGTCTTTCATGGAGTTTGCTCAAGAAAAAAGTCTACCTATGGATAAACTTCTCTCAGTGTGTACTGATGGTGCTCCGTGTATGGTGGGGAAAAACAAAGGATTTGTGGCGCTTCTCCGTGAACATGAAAATAGACCCATCCTAAGTTTCCATTGCATTATACACCAGGAGGCACTTTGTGCTCAGATGTGTGACAGGCAGTTTGGCGAAGTGATGTCGCTGGTCATTCGTGTGATCAACTTTATTGTTGCCCGAGCCTTAAATGATCGCCAGTTTAAAACACTGCTGGATGAAGTTGTAAATAACTATCCTGGTCTGCTTTTGCACAGCAATGTGCGTTGGTTGTCAAGAGGGAAGGTGCTTAGCCGTTTTGCGGCTTGCCTGAACGAAATCCGGACTTTCCTTGAAATGAAAGGCGTCGGGCATCCTGAGCTAGCCGACACCGAGTGGCTCCTCAAGTTTTACTATCTCGTAGATCTGACTGAACATCTGAACCAGCTCAACGTGAAAATGCAAGGCATTGGAAATACAGTGTTATCCCTTCAACAAGCTGTATTTGCTTTTGAAAACAAGCTGGAGCTTTTCATCACGGATCTTGAAACAGGTCGTTTACTACATTTTGAAAAACTGAGCCAATTTAAAGATGCATGCACAGCAAGTGAGCCCATTCAAAACCTTGATCTCCACCAGCTAGCTGGCTGCACATCCAGTCTCCTACAGTCCTTCAAAGCACGCTTTGGAGAATTTCGTGAGCACACTCGTCTTTTTAAGTTCATCACCCATCCAAACGAGTGTTCACTGAACACAGCCGACCTGAATTACATCCCTGGTGTCTCCGTCAGAGATTTTGAAGCAGAAGTGGCTGACCTGAAGGCCTCAGACATGTGGGTGAATAAGTTCAAGTCACTGAATGAAGATTTGGAAAGAATCACACGACAGAAAGCGGAGTTGGCGAGCAAGCACATGTGGACAGAAATGAAAAAACTCCAACCCGAAGACCAGCTGATTCTCAAAACTTGGAACGCGCTTCCTGTCACATACCACACACTGCAGCGTGTGAGTATTGCTGTATTGACCATGTTTGGATCTACGTATGCATGTGAGCAGTCATTCTCACATCTTAAAAACATCAAGTCCAACCTACGATCACGTTTAACGGATGAAAGCCTCAACGCTTGCATGAAGCTTAACCTCACCAAGTACCAACCCGACTACAAAGACATCAGCAAATCCATGCAGCACCAGAAGTCGCATTAATGGTGAGTGTTATAACAACATTATTTAAAAGAATAAATTCAGAGGCTTATTATACTGACATTTAGTTGAATTCACTTTTAAAATATATTATATGGCTCTCACTGAAATAAATTTCCAAATTTTTTGCTTTCATGGCTCTCTTAGTCAAAAAGGTTCCCGACCCCTGCACTACACTATACACTATACTACTATACACTATACTACTATACACTATACTACTATACACTACTATACACTACACTACTATACACTACACTACTATACACTACACAACTATACACTACTATACACTATACACTACTATACACTACACTATACTACTATACACTACTATACACTATACACTACACTATACTACTATACACTACACAACTATACACTACTATACACTATACACTACTATACACTACACTATACTACTATACACTACTATACACTACTATACACTATACACTACACTATACTACTATACACTACTATACACTATACACTACCATACACTACTATACACTACACTACTATACACTACACTATACACTATACTACTATACACTATACACTACTATACACTACACTACTATACACTACACAACTATACACTACTATACACTATACACTACTATACACTACACTATACTACTATACACTACTATACACTATAGACTACACTATACTACTATACACTATACACTACTATACACTACACTACTATACACTATACACTACACTATACTACTATACACTACTATACACTATACACTACACTATACTACTATACACTACTATACACTACACAACTATACACTACTATACACTATACACTACTATACACTACACTATACTACTATACACTACTATACACTATACACTACTATACACTACACAACTATACACTACTATACACTATACACTACTATACACTATACACTACTATACACTACACAACTATACACTACTATACACTACTATACACTATACACTACTATACACTATACACTACACTACTATACACTCTACACTACACTCTATGGAGGCTCATCGTTAAGCGATTAGGGGCGGCCGTTCAGAGGGGTTCAACTGTATTGGGGACATCGGATCGTGACGCGATCGAGCGACGGGAGACTCGCGTCGCGCGAGCAGGAATGAGCGGTCTGTAACGGCCTCGGCGTAGCGTCGTCATCGTCATCATCATCGTCGTCGTCACACGAGGCAATGGGATACTGCTGGATGCTCGTAGACGCTACCCCACGCACGCGCGTGCTCGCCTCTGTCTTTGTACGTCCCTCGCGTCACGCACCTCGCGGGCGTTACCCCCCCCCGCTGCCTCCCCCGTGTTGCTACGACGCGGTCCTTCCACGCAGCGTTGTTCTTGACGAACGCGACTGCTACCGCCACGTCACGGGGGAGACCGGACCGACGTCCGGGATCGAGGTCGTTGCGCGCGTTTTGGCTTTTCATTTCTTCCACCGCTGCGTTAGGTTCTCGCGTCAATGTGCTCGCGCGTCGTAGAATCCTGCAAACTAAATAAAAATGTTTATCGTTTCACCGCGTGCAAGGCCCCGCCGAGCCGCTACCTGGCACTCTATTTTTTTAAGACTCGACCCTGGCCATGACAAGTGACGGCTCAACGGAGTTGGGGGGAAAGGGGAATAAGACGGGGGAGGGACCCCGGAGAGAAATCCACGGAGAGAAATCCACGCGACCACGGGGGAGCACCGAGTGCCGCGTGACCACGCAGACGCTTCTGTTGTTTGTGGAGCGACTCGTGCAGCCAGCTGTGGCTCGAGGATTTGGTGTCGCACGTTACTTACGTAGTTTGTTGTAACAAAACAAAACAAAAAATCGGTCACAGTCCCTGCGACCGCTGTTACGTTGCAATTATGGCTTTAATTTTTTTTGGTGATTTCGAAAGCGTTTTTTTTGGTTTGGACATGTTTTTGTTTGTGGTACGGAGTTAGACTGACGGCCTTAATCTAAGTTTTCTTGTGGTTGTTGTTGTTGTTGTTTGACTTGCATCCCACTGGGATTGTTTGCACACAGCGGTTGGTGGTGTACGGTGCTTTTTTTCAGGAATATTTTGCTGGTTTTTTTTTCATGGATTTTCCGTTTGCACAGTCACACACAAAGTCACTTCAGGATGTTTTTTTCCTGTTGGCGTTTTAGTTTTTTTTGTTTGTTTGTTGCGGTTGCACCCGATTCAAGAGCCGAATGTCTCACGGGGGCTACACCAAAATACATCAAACTGAAACTGAAAATCAACGTGGACGACCGGAGGCTCGAGCCGGTTGAGAGACAGAGATGCCCTTGCGCTCACCACCGTCTCGTTCCCCGCCACCCGTCCCCCCCCCCACCCCGGCACAGACGACCCGGCCGTCTCGTCCAACGAGCTCGTCAGGAGGTCCCGGCAGGAGCGGTGGGCCATGTGGTCCCTGCGGGAGGGCATGGGCACCTTGCCCAATGCCCTGGGGGCATTCCTGGAGGGCAGGGGCGTCGAGCTGCTCACCAACGCCGCCGTGCGGCGGATCGACTTCACGGGCGACCGGAAGGCCACGGTGAGTTCCCGTTGCGACGTTATCGCCGTTGCCCGGTGCCCAGGAGGTCCCCGCGGGTTCGATGCCGAGCCCCGTTGTCGCGCGGATTTTTCTCCGGGTCTTCCCCTCCACGCTTGCGATGGACGTCGCTCGTTTCAGGGGGGTATTTTGAGCTGAAATGAATGTCCACGTGATGACGCGATGAGCCCACGCTCTCCGGTTCTATTCGGTAAAGTCACGCAAAAGTATAAAACAACAACAACAACACAAGTGGCCTTCATCAGGTGAAGGGACCAGACTGTCTCGAGGACAGCGCTGACTAACGCACAAGAAGGTCGCGCACTGCACATGCCGCACCCCTCCGCTCATCAATAATCATGAGCGGGTGACGTCACTCCACATGGGGCAACCCCTCCACACATGGGGCAACCCCCCCCCTCATTAATAATCATGAGCTAGTGACGTCACACCACATGCCGCACCCCTCCACAGTAACCGTCAGCGGGTGACGTCACTCCACATGGGGCAACCCCCCCCTCATTAATAATCATGAGCTAGTGACGTCACACCACATGCCGCACCCCTCCACAATAACCATGAGCGGCTGACGTCACTCCACATGGGGCAACCCCCCCCTCATTACCTCATTAATAATCATGAGCTAGTGACGTCACACCACATGCTGCACCCCTCCACAATAACCATCAGCGGGTGACGTCACTCCACATGGGGCAACCCCCCCCCACCCCCCTCATTAATAATCATGAGCTGAACAATTTTTCTATTGAATTTTTCAGATTTACTGCAATAAACAACACCGTCCTTGGACGGGCAAAATAGCTAGCATTATATCGCGACTCATGTCTAGCACATACAGTAAAACACCTTGGGTTGCGAGGAGCATAATTCGTTCCGGAAACGTGTTTGTAATCCAAAGCACTCGTATATCAAAGCACAACGTACATCAGTTGTGATCACGTGACGCCCGGCAGTACAGAGCGTGTACACGTACTACTACTCGTGTTGCAAGACCCTCGCTCGTTTATCAAATTAATATTTATTTAAACAATTTTTGCTCGTCTTGCAAAACACTCGTAGACCAAGTTACTCGCGATCCAAGGTTTTACTGTATTCTGAAAGAGTCACTGTTGCTCTGTGATGTCGTTTCAGGTGGAATTTGATGGTGACACAATTACTGTGGACCACATCATTAGCACATTGCCTGCAAAAGGTGAGCGGGTGGTTGAGTAGCTTGGATGGGTGATTGAGTGGATGGGTGGCTGAATGGATGAGTGAGTAATTTGGTGGGTGAGTGGCTAAATGGGTGGATGAGTGGGTGACTAGGTGGGGTGGGTGAATATGTGAGCGAGTGAGTGGGTGGGTGGCTGAATGGGTAACTGAGTTAGTAGGTGGGTGGGTGAATGGGTGGATGATTGGGTGAATATGTGGAGGGGTGAGTAAATGAATAGATGGGTGAGTGGGTGGGTAAGTGATAGATGGGTGAGTGATTGTGTGAGTGAGTGGGTATGAGGGATGGTGAATGGGTGGGTGAGTGAGGGAGGTGGGTTAATGAGTATGTGGGAGGGTGATTAGTTACACGTACGTACACACACACGCGTTTGCTAACACTGTGCCCCTCTCCATCCGCGTGTCTCCCGCGTGTCTCAGCCCTGTCCCCGCTGCTGCCCGCCGACCTGTCCGTGCTGCGGGAGGATCTGAGCCGCATCCGCTCCGTCACCGTGGCTGTGGTGAACCTGGAATACCCAGGCAGCGTACTCCCCGTGCAGGCGAGTCACCACGAGTCTCCGTGTGTCTCCGTGTGTCTCAGTATGTCCGCAAGTGTCCTCACGTGTCTCTACCTGGAAATACGCCTATGCGTATTTCCGCGTGTCTCCATGTCTCTCCGTGTGCCTCTGATTGTCTCCGTGCGTTTCCACGTGCCTCAACGTCTCTACGCAACGCCGCGTGTCTCCACTGTCTCTGTCGCCTGTGTCTCTCTCTCTCACTCCTGCGGCTCTGCATGTCTCCGCGTGTCACCAAATGACCGCGTGTCACCAAATGACCGTGTGTCTCCCCGTGTGTCTCCACCCCGTGTGTCTCCACCCCGTGTGTCTCCCTGTGTGTGTGTCTCTCTATGTGTCTCCCCGTGTGTCTCTCTGTGTGTCTCCCCGTGTGTCTCCCCGTGTGTCTCCCTGTGTGTCTCTCTGTGTGTCTCCCCGTGTGTCTCTCTGTGTGTCTCTCCGTGTGTCTCCCCCCCCCCCCCCCCCCCCCCCCGTGTGTCTCTCTGTGTGTCTCCCCATGTGTCTCCCCGTGTGTCTCTCTGTGTGTCTCTCTGTGTGTCTCTCCGGGTGTCTCCCCCCCCCCCCCCCGTGTGTCTCCCCCCCGTGTGTCTCCCCATGTGTCTCCCTGTGTGTCTCCACCCCGTGTGTCTCCCTGTGTGTGTGTCTCCCCGTGTGTCTCCCCATGTGTCTCCCCGTGTGTCTCCACCCCGTGTGTCTCCCTGTGTGTGTGTCTCCCCGTGTGTCTCTCTGTGTGTCTCTCTGTGTGTCTCTCCGTGTGTCTCCCCGTGTGTCTCTCTGTGTGTCTCTCCGTGTGTCTCCCCCCCCCGTGTGTCTCCCCCCCGTGTGTCTCCCCCCCGTGTGTCTCCCGGTGTGTCTCCCTGTGTGTGTGTCTCCCCGTGTGTCTCCCCGTGTGTCTCTCCGTGTGTCTCCCCGTGTGTCTCTCTGTGTGTCTCTCCTCGTGTCTTCTCCTCGTGTGTCTTCCCGTGTCTTCCCCCCCTCCCCCCCCTTGCGTGTCTCCCCTCCCCGTGTGTGTGTCTCCCCGTGTGTGTGTCTCACCGTGTGTGTGTCTCCCCGTGTGTGTGTGTGTCTCCCCTCTCCGTGTGTCTCCCCGTGTGTGGTCTCCCCTCTCCGTGTGTGTCTCCCCGTGTGTGTGTCTCCCCTCTCCGTGTGTGTGTGTGTGTCTCCCCTCTCCGTGTGTGTCTCTCCGTGTGTGTCTCTCCGTGTGTGTGTCTCCCCGTGTGTGTGTCTCCCCTCTCCGTGTGTGTGTCTCCCCGTGTGTCTCTCCATATCTCAGGGGTTTGGACATCTCCTCCCATCGTCCGAGTCCGGCCCGGTGCTGGGCGTCGTGTACGACAGCATGCTCTTCCCCCAGCACAACCGGCGCGACGTGGAGAGCACACGGCTCACGGTGCGACGTCACACCCCGCCTCGTCACACCACAGCCTCGTCACACCACAGCCTCGCCACACCACAGCCTCGTCACACCACAGCCTCGTCACACCACAGCCTCGTCACACCACAGCCTCGTCACACCACAGCCTCGTCACACCCCGTCTCGTCACACCCCGTCCCGTCACACCACAGCCTCGTCACACCACAGCCTCGTCACACCACAGCCTCGTCACACCACAGCCTCGTCACACCCCGTCTCGTCACACCACAGCCTCGTCACACCACAGCCTCGTCACACCACAGCCTCGTCACACCACAGCCTCGTCACACCACAGCCTCGTCACACCCCGTCTCGTCACACCCCGTCCCGTCACACCACAGCCTCGTCACACCACAGCCTCGTCACACCACAGCCTCGTCACACCACAGCCTCGTCACACCCCGTCTCGTCACACCACAGCCTCGTCACACCACAGCCTCGTCACACCACAGCCTCGTCACACCCCGTCTCGTCACACCACAGCCTCGTCACACCACAGCCTCGTCACACCACAGCCTCGTCACACCCCACCTCGTCACACCCCGTCTCGTCACACCCCGTCTCGTCACACCACAGCCTCGTCACACCACAGCCTCGTCACACCACAGCCTCGTCACACCACAGCCTCGTCACACCACAGCCTCGTCACACCACAGCCTCGTCACGCCACAGCCTCGTCACACCCCATCTCGTCACTCCCCGCCTCATCACAACACAGCCTCGTCACACCCCGTCTCGTCACACCACAGCCTCGTCACACCCCGCCTCGTCACACCCCGCCTCGTCACTCCCCGTCTCGTCACACCCCGTCTCGTCACACCACAGCCTCGTCACTCCCCGTCTCGTCACGCCCGGTCTCGTCACACCACAGCCTCGTCACACCACAGCCTCGTCACACCCCACCTCGTCACACCACAGCCTCGTCACACTACAGCCTCATCACGCCCCACCTCGTCACACCACAGCCTCGTCACACCACAGCCTCGTCACCGCATCATCGCTGTCGTTACGTCGCGCGTCAACACGACCGGCATGACTTGGAGAGCTCGTGGCTCACGGTGTGACATCATACCCCGCCTCGTCACACCAACGTCGTCACATTACATCATAGTCGCACCACACCGCGTCGTCGTCGCACCGCGTCCTCGCTTTGAACACGCGGCTCGCGGTGCGACGTCGTGCCCCGCCTCGTCACACCACGTCGGCACAGGTGATGCTGGGGGGCGCGTGGTATGAGGAGGCGTACGGGGGTCTGGGCGCGGGCGAGGGGGAGATGGAGTCGCTGCTGGCGGACGCGGCGGAGGGAGCCGTGCGGACCCAGCTGGGCGTGGACGTGCGACCCACTCGTACCTCCGTCAGCCTCAACCAGGTGACCACCGCCGGCGACACAACCAACAGCGACACAACCAACAGCGACACAACCACCGGCGAGACAACCACCAGCACCACAACCAACAGCGACACAACCAACAGCGACACAACCAACAGCTACACAACCAACAGCTACACAACCAACAGCGACACGACCAATAGCACCACAACCACCAGCCACACAACCGCCAGCCACACAACCGCCAGCACCACAACCACCGGCGAGACAACCACCAGCACCACAACCAACAGCGACACAACCAACAGCGACACAACCAACAGCGACACAACCAACAGCGACACAACCAACAGCGACACAACCAACAGTGACACAACCAACAGCGACACAACCAACAGCGACACAACCAACAGCGACACAACCAACAGCGACACAACCAACAGCGACACAACCAACAGCTACACAACCAACAGCGACACAACCAACAGCGACACAACCAACAGCTACACAACCAACAGCGACACAACCAACAGCGACACAACCAACAGTGACACAACCAACAGCGACACAACCAACAGCGACACAACCAACAGCGACACAACCAACAGCGACACAACCAACAGCGACACAACCAACAGCTACACAACCAACAGCGACACAACCAACAGCGACACAACCAACAGCTACACAACCAACAGCTACACAACCAACAGCGACACGACCAATAGCACCACAACCACCAGCCACACAACCGCCAGCCACACAACCGCCAGCACCACAACCACCGGCGAGACAACCACCAGCACCACAACCAACAGCGACACAACCAACAGCGACACAACCAACAGTGACACAACCAACAGCGACACAACCAACAGCGACACAACCAACAGCTACACAACCAACAGCGACACGACCAATAGCACCACAACCGCCAGCCACACAACCGCCAGCACCACAACCACCGGCGAGACAACCACCAGCACCACAACCAACAGCGACACAACCAACAGCGACACAACCAACAGCGACACAACCAACAGCTACACAACCAACAGCGACACAACCAACAGCGACACAACCAACAGCGACACAACCAACAGCGACACAACCAACAGCGACACAACCAACAGCGACACAACCAACAGCTACACAACCAACAGCGACACAACCAACAGCGACACAACCAACAGCGACACAACCAACAGCTACACAACCGACAGCGACACAACCAACAGCGACACAACCAACAGCGACACAACCAACAGCGACACAACCAACAGCGACACAACCAACAGCGACACAACCGCCAGCGACACAACCGCCAGCGACACAACCAACAGCGACACAACCAACAGCGACACAACCAACAGCGACACAACCGCCAGCCACACAACCAACAGCTACACAACCAACAGCTACACAACCAACAGCGACACAACAGCGACACAACCAACAGCCACACAACCAACAGCTACACAACCAACAGCTACACAACCAACAGCGACACAACAGCGACACAACCAACAGCGACACAACCGCCAGCCACACAACCAACAGCTACACAACCAACAGCTACACAACCAACAGCGACACAACAGCGACACAACCAACAGCGACACAACCGCCAGCCACACAACCAACAGCTACACAACAAACAGCTACACAACCAACAGCGACACAACAGCGACACAACCAACAGCGACACAACCACCAGCCACACAACCAACAGCTACACAACCAACAGCTACACAACCAACAGCGACACAACAGCGACACAACCAACAGCGACACAACCGCCAGCCACACAACCAACAGCTACACAACCAACAGCTACACAACCAACAGCGACACAACAGCGACACAACCAACAGCGACACAACCGCCAGCCACACAACCAACAGCTACACAACCAACAGCTACACAACCAACAGCGACACAACAGCGACACAACCAACAGCGACACAACCGCCAGCCACACAACCAACAGCTACACAACCAACAGCGACACAACAGCGACACAACCGCAGCCACACAACCAACAGCTACACAACCAACAGCGACACAACAGCGACACAACCGCCAGCCACACAACCAACAGCTACACAACCAACAGCGACACAACAGCGACACAACCAACAGCGACACAACCAACAGCGACACAACCGCCAGCCACACAACCACCAGCGACACAACCAACAGCGACACAACCAACAGCGACACAACCGCCAGCCACACAACCAACAGCGACACAACCAACAGCACCACAACCGCCAGTGACACAACCGTCGGCACCACAACCGCCGGCACCACAACCGCCAGTGCCACAACCGTCAGCACCACAACTACCAGCGACACAACCGCCAGCGACACAACCGCCAGCGACACAACCAACAGCGACACAACCGCCAGCGACACAACCAACAGCCACACAACCACCAGCACCACAACCGCCGGCGACACAACAACGATGGTCCCCTGCCGCACCCCCACCGTGTCGCCTTTAACAGAATCAGGTCCAGCGGTGTGACCTCTAGATCTCCCGCCTGTCAAGTCGGAGGTTTTGCCTCTGCATTTATCGGAATATTTTACTTGCACTGGAGAAATCCGATGGGGGCTACAAAGCTGCTTGCTTGCTGCTTTTTACACGCTTTGTAACACATTCTCCTGCGGAGGGAGCTGGTAGGAACGTTGGGTTGCTCGGTCAATGGCCAGGGTCAACGGCACCACCATGTCGTGGTGTATTCCGCACAATATGCCCGACTGTGAGGGCGGGCACAAGCCGGCGTGAGTAGGTTAAACGTTGAGTTTTATAGGGGCACCACGGGGTGACCAGCCCCTCCCCTCCCAGCCCCACCCCACCCAGCCCCTCCCCACCCTCCCCTCCCCACCCAGCCCGACCCAGCCCCTCCCCCCACCCTCCCCACCCAGCCCCTCCCCCCACCCTCCCCACCCAGCCCCTCCCCACCCACCCACCCCTCCCAGCCCCTCCTCCCACCCAGCCCGACCCAGCCCCTCCCCCCACCCTCCCCACCCAGCCCCTCCCCACCCAGCCCCACCCCACCCAGCCCCTCCTCCCACCCAGCCCGACCCAGCCCCTCCCCACCCTCCCCTCCCCACCCAGCCCCACCCATTTTTGGATGCACGACGGACGGACGGACACGATAATCCCCTGTGGGCTGGTGGTGTAATAACCAGGAGGTGTTCCTACACAGTATTAACTCACTGTCTGTTGTTGTTGTATCCTCAAATCTTGTAACTCAATTTTAACCCCACTTCCCAATGTGGTATCGACTGCAAACTTGGTATAATAATATGATAATTGTTTTTTTACCCTTTTATCTGGCAACAAAACTGACACCTTGTTTTACAAGGAGTCGTGTTTACATTGACCACAATACCTGCGGTCGGAACGCAAACACAAAACAACAACTCTGATAATGTATGTGGCACTGTCCTTGAAATTGATTGGTCCACACCCGAGACAGCTTTCTTTAGAGCCTCGTCTCACGTTGGTGTTGGATCAGAAGACGCCAAAAGGCGTCACACAACTCAAAGGCAATGCACCATCAGAGTATGAGAGCTCGGGGTGAAGCATTTACACAACATTGGAAACCTCATTTGGCAGTAACAAAATATGATCATTGGCTTTTTACCCTTTTATCTGGCAGCAAAACTGACACCTTTTTTTACAAGGAGTCACGTTTGCGTTCCGACCGCAGGTATTGTGGTCAATGTAAACATGACTCCTTGTAAAAAAGGTGTCAGGGTAAAAAGGCAATTATCATATTTTGTTACTGGCAAATGAGGTTTCCAATGGTGTAAACTTGGTATACTTCTGTCATGCTGATGACATAAAAATATATATATTTTTTTAAACATTATTTTTTTTATATATATATTATGTTTCGGCTTGGGTCTAATTGTCCACGCTCAACTGACGTTGGCTGTGATTGGCCACGGCCCCCCTTATGTCGTGGCAAACTTCGGGGGCCACTTCCTGGAGTCGTGGAGTCCCGCCGTTACTCGTACGGTACATTTAATTAAAGCGTGTTTTAGAAAAAAGTTTTTTTTAAATATCACTTCGTTTTCCATTCAGCACACGTCCATCCAAGTAGGCGCACGGGGGTCAGAACGTCGCGACGGCAAACGGTGCAACAACACCCGGTGTGCTGTGCCCGTAAACCGATTGGCACATTTTGTTCACGTGACAAGCCTTACTAATTGGCCGTGTCGGATTTCGCGGGCGCATTTGTATTGTTACGCGACCTAACCCGGAAAACTAAAACAACAACAAAAAAACAACACCCCCACGTGGGTGGCTGCCTCTCTGTCTCTCTTTCCAGGACTGCATCCCTCAATACGAAGTCGGACACTGGAAAATCATGGGTGAGCGAGCAAAGCAGTGTGGGAAAAATTACCCACGATCCCTTGCGAGCGGGGGGAGGGGGTGCCCTGCGCTTGCGTCCAGTGCAGCGGTGAGCGCCGCGCCGCGTATGCCCGGCGTCCCGAGTTCGATTCCCGCTCTCACCGCCACCACCGGTGACGATTATCTGAAGCGATCTTGGGCCTCCCCTAGGTCGACTCAGCCTTAAATTAGTACCTGGAGCGCCGGGGGAGACAAAGGTGGCCCAGCGTGGTGCTGACCGTCAGCCTTCGCTCGTGCGCCTTGGAGGCCTTCACAGGTGCTCGCTTAACAGCACTTGCCCCAACGTTCTGTCAACTTGGATAACGCCCGGGTCTTTCTCATGACCTCCTGCCATCGGCGAGCCTTCCGCACATCACGTGACGGCCTCCAAGTGCACCTAGCCTGGCACATCAGTTGAATTATAACACCTCGGTCCTGTCCCACGGGCTCCTGCCATCGGCGAGCCTTCCACACATCACGTGACGGCCTCCAAGTGCACCTAGCCCGGCACATCGATGAACCTACACCACCTGGATTCTCTCACGTGACCTGCTCCTGCCATCGGCGAGCCTTCCACGCTTGCCGTGACGGCCCCGACGTGCACCTAGCCCGGCACATCGATGAACCTACACCAATTCTAGATTTGAAGCTTTCGTGACTGCAAGGATCCATTACTCTTTGGTTCTATTCGGTAAAGTCACGTAGTAGGTAAAAAAATAAAACAACAAAAATCACGACGTTTCGGCCATAGCACAAGTGGCCTTCATCAGGTGAAGGGGGGACCGCGCTGTCACGAAGACAGCGTTGGAATAAAATAAAAAAGTCAAGCCAGGTCGCGTTTCTTTAAGCTGTGTGGGACGAAACCAAACGCTTTGACAAAGGAATTAGCCTAAAGTGCTGATAGAACACTTAAAGTGCTGATAGAACACTTAAAGTGCTGATAGAACACTTAAAGTGCTGATAGAACACTTAAAGTGCTGATAGAACACTTAAAGTGCTGATAGAACACTTAAAGTGCTGATAGAACACTTAACACGGGGGGAGGGGGGGAGGTGAATTTGACCATCCAAACGTTGTCTTGAAGGGAACTAAGCTGCTGCTGTGAAAGTTTGGTATATCACCACTTGGATAACCTTACACCACCGGGGTTCCCGGTCCCACGACCTGCCATTACACCACCGGGGTTCCCGGTCCCACGACCTGCCATTACACCACCGGGGTTCCCGGTCCCACGACCTGCCATTACACCACCGGGGTTCCCGGTCCCACGACCTGCCATTACACCACCGGGGTTCCCGGTCCCACGACCTGCCATTACACCACCGGGGTTCCCGGTCCCACGACCTGCCATTACACCACCGGGGTTCCCGGTCCCACGACCTGCCACTACACCACCGGGGTTCCCGGTCCCACGACCTGCCACTACACCACCGGGGTTCCCGGTCCCACGACCTGCCATTACACCACCGGGGTTCCCGGTCCCACGACCTGCCATTACACCACCGGGGTTCCCGGTCCCACGACCTGCCATTACACCACCGGGGTTCCCGGTCCCACGACCTGCCACTACACCACCGGGGTTCCAGGTCCCACGACCTGCCATTACACCACCCGGGTTCCCGGTCCCACGACCTGCCATTACACCACCCGGGTTCCCGGTCCCACGACCTGCCATTACACCACCCGGGTTCCCGGTCCCACGACCTGCCATTACACCACCCGGGTTCCCGGTCCCACGACCTGCCACTACACCACCGGGGTTCCCGGTCCCACGACCTGCCATTACACCACCGGGGTTCCCGGTCCCACGACCTGCCACTGCCGGCGGGGGCGAGAGTCTCCGACGCTCCGCGTAGCCTTCTGCTCTTGCCGTGCCGGCCCCCCCCCCCCCACCACCACCCACCACCCACTCCGAGCGAGGTGCACCTAGCCCGGCGCGCTGACGTTTGCCCGCAGAGAGGATCGCGCTGGAGGTGGGGTCCCGGCGTCTCCCGCTGAGCCTCACCGGCGCCTCCTTCAACGGCGTCTCCATCAACGACTGCGTCTACAACGCGGGGTCGGCCGTCGCCACGCTCCTCCGGACGCACGTGTGAACCCCCTCTCGCGAGTCCCACACCAGCGCGGGGGGGGGGGAGGGGGTGGGGGGGGCGGAGGTGGGGGGGGCGGATGTTGGGGAGGGGGCGGAGGTTGGGGAGGGACAGAGGGGGGGGCCTGTGTGTAACCTGTACTCGGATTCAGGATCGGAGTCTTGGGTTAAGACTGCTTCTCAAGATCGGAGTCTTGGGTTGAGACTGTGTCTCAAGATCAGTATCATTGTGTTGAGACTGCGTCTCAAGATCAATGTCATTGTGTTGAGACTGCGTCTCAGGATCAATGTCATTGTGTTGAGACTGCGTCTCAGGATCAAGTCTTGGGTTGAAACTGCATCTCAAGATCAATGTCATTGTGTTGAGACTGTGTCTCAGGATCAAGTCTTGGGTTGAAACTGCATCTCAAGATCAATGTCATTGTGTTGAGACTGTGTCTCAGGATCAAGTCTTGGGTTGAAACTGCATCTCAAGATCAATGTCATTGTGTTGAGACTGTGTCTCAGGATCAAGTCTTGGGTTGAAACTGCATCTCAAGATCAGTATCATTGTGTTGAGACTGCGTCTCAAGATCAATGTCATTGTGTTGAGACTGCGTCTCAGGATCAAGTCTTGGGTTGAAACTGCATCTCAAGATCAGTATCATTGGGTTGAAACTGCATCTCAAGAGCAGTGTCATTGAGTTGAGACTGTGTCTCAAGATCAATGTCATTGTGTTGAGACTGCGTCTCAGCTTCAATGTCATTGGGTTGAAACTGCGTCCCAAGATCAGTATCATTGGGTTGAAACTGCATCTCAAGATCAGTGTCATTGGGTTGAGACTGCGTCTCAGGATCGGTGTCTTGAGTTGAGACTGGGTCTCAAGATCGGAGTCTTGGGTTAAGGCTGCGTCTCAAGGTCAATGTCATTGTGTTGAGACTGCGTCTCAGGATCAAGTCTTGGGTTGAAACTGCATCTCAAGATCAGTATCATTGGGTTGAAACTGCATCTCAAGATCAGTGTCATTGGGTTGAGACTGCGTCTCAGGATCGGTGTCTTGAGTTGAGACTGGGTCTCAAGATCGGAGTCTTGGGTTAAGGCTGCGTCTCAAGGTCAATGTCATTGTGTTGAGACTGCGTCTCAGGATCAAGTCTTGGGTTGAAACTGCATCTCAAGATCAGTATCATTGGGTTGAAACTGCATCTCAAGATCAGTGTCATTGGGTTGAGACTGCGTCTCAGGATCGGTGTCTTGAGTTGAGACTGGGTCTCAAGATCGGAGTCTTGGGTTAAGGCTGCGTCTCAAGGTCAATGTCATTGTGTTGAGACTGCGTCTCAGGATCAAGTCTTGGGTTGAAACTGCATCTCAAGATCAGTATCATTGGGTTGAAACTGCATCTCAAGATCAGTGTCATTGGGTTGAGACTGCGTCTCAGGATCGGTGTCTTGAGTTGAAACTGCATCTCAAGATCAGTATCATTGTGTTGAAACTGCATCTCAAGGTCAATGTCATTGTGTTGAGACTGCATCTCAGGATCAAGTCTTGGGTTGAAACTGCATCTCAAGATCAGTATCATTGGGTTGAGACTGTGTCTCAAGATCAATGTCATTGTGTTGAGACTGCATCTCAAGATCAGTATCATTGGGTTGAAACTGCATCTCAAGATCAGTGTCATTGGGTTGAGACTGTGTCTCAGGATCGGTGTCTTGAGTTGAAACTGCATCTCAAGATCAGTATCATTGTGTTGAAACTGCATCTCAAGATCAGTGTCATTGGATTGAAACTGCATCTCAAGATCGGTGTCATTGGATTGAAACTGCATCTCAAGATCGGTGCCATTGGGTTGAAACTGCATCTCAAGATCAGTATCATTGGGTTGAAACTGCATCTCAAGATCAGTGTCATTGGGTTGAGACTGCGTCTCAAGATCAATGTCATTGTGTTGAAACTGCATCTCAAGATCAGTGTCATTGGATTGAAACTGCATCTCAAGATCAGTGTCATTGGGTTGAAACTGCATCTCACGATCAGTATCATTGGGTTGAAACTGCATCTCAAGATCAATGTCATTGTGTTGAGACTGCATCTCAAGATCAATGTCATTATGTTGAGACTGCGTCTCAGGATCAAGTCTTGGGTTGAAACTGCATCTCAAGATCAGTATCATTGGGTTGAAACTGCATCTCAAGATCAATGTCTTGGGGTGAGACCGCATCTCAGGATTGTAATATTGACGCTGATCCTGAAAGAATTTCTCAAACACGACACCCATCCCACCCTTTATTGCTGCACTTAACGATATTTAAAAGAAAAATGTCAGCGAACCGCGTTGCCGTGAATGTTTTTTTTTACAACGTGTGATTACAATGTTGACGAATCATCATGTGCACACATTATCGATTGTACTTTTAATATAATTTCTAAGCCTATTCCTACAACCGTGTCGAGTATTTTCTGTACACGTACGGATCCTGCCTTAATCCAACCCGTATTATACAGCGCGGTACAATGTTTCGTAAACGTGCAGTCGGAAAACATGCGTGCTGTAACTACTGTTTAAAATTAAACATTGTAATTTACAGTCCTTGGTCAATCCACTGTGCTGGATGAGAATGCATCCCCGTCGCGTCGCCATCGTTCGCGATCGCCCAAGAACCATGGAGATGGGCGCCACGGTGGCTCGGAGATGTTAACTACCTCGCCTGGTATACAGGAGGTTCGTGGGTTTGATCCCGGACCCTCGCCACGGTGGCTAGATGTTAACTACCTCGCCTGGTATGCAGGAGGTCGTGGGTTCGATCCCGGACCCTAACGCCACGGGTGACTAGGAGATGTTAACTACCTCGCCTGGTATACAGGAGGTCGTGGGTTGGACCCCGGACCCTCACGCCATGGGTGGCTAGGAGATGTTAACTACCTCGCCTGGTATACAGGAGGTCGTGGGTTGGACCCCGGACCTTCACGCCACGGGTGGCTATGAGATGTTAACTACCTCGACTGGTATGCAGGAGGTCGTGGGTTCGATCCCGGACCCTAACGCCAAGGGTGACTAGGAGATGTTAACTACCTCGCCTGGTATGCAGGAGGTCGTGGGTTCGATCCCGGACCCTAACGCCAAGGGTGGCTGAGATGTTAACTACCTCGCCTGGTATACAGGAGGTCGTGGGTTCGATCCTGGACCCTCACGCCAAGGGTGGCTATGAGATGTTAACTACCTCGCCTGGTATACAGGAGGTTCGTGGGTTCGATCCTGGACCCTAACGCCAAGGGTGACTAGGAGATGTTAACTACCTCGCCTGGTGTGCAGGAGGTCGTGGGTTCGATCCCGACCCTGACGCCTGCTGCTGTATATTTCCAAGTTCTCAACCGTGGTGGTGGTGGGGGGGTGGTGGTGGAGTGGTGGGGGGGGGGGGTGGTGGTGGGGGGGTGGTGTGAGTGTGGTGGTGGGGGGGGGTGGTAGTGGGGTGGTGGTGGGGGGTGGTGGGGGGGTGGTGGGGGGGGTGGTGGTGGGGGGGTGGTGTTGGTGTGGTGGTGGGGGGGGTGTGGTGGTGGGGGGGTGGTGTTGGTGTGGTGGTGGGGGGGGGGTGGTGGGGTGGGGGTGGGGGGGTGGTGGGGGTGGGGTGGGGATGTGGGGGGGTGGTGGAGGCGCGGTGGTGGTGGTGGTGGAGATGTGGTGGTGATGGTGGGGATGTGGTGTGGTGGGGGGCGTGGCGCGGTGGTGGGGGTCTTGTGGGGGGCGGGGCGCGGTGGTGGGGGTGTTGTGGGGGGCGGGGCGCGGTGGTGGGGGTGTGGTGGGGGGCGGGGCGCGGTGGTGGGGGTGTTGTGGGGGGCGGGGCGCGGTGGTGGGGGTGTGGTGGGGGGCGGGGCGTGGTGATGGTGGTGACGTTTCTTGGGTTCCCCCCTCCGTCATTGACACTTGAAGTCCAAGATGGCGGCCTCCGTGTGGTTTCGCCAAGCGCAGTTCGTCAAGGTGAGGAAAACGACAGAACGACGCGATCCGCCGTCTTTCCACGCGCTCGCCGTCGTCCGTCCGGCTTCAAGGGAGAGAAGCGTTGGATAGACATGTTGAGAATTGTCGCGATACGTTCTGAAATCGTAAAAAAAAAATGACAAGCAAAGGCCGCTGCGATGCCTACGTTGTTGCCTGGTTCGCCTGCCCGGGTTGGTGCGTCCTTCCCGGCAGCGGCCGAGGTCGAATGACAACATATCTACCGCTCCCGCCTCTTCCTTAGATATATAACGTGATAGTTTTTTTAAGTGTCGTTAAAGTTAACAACATTTTAAAAGTTAGCATGTGTATAGCGAGAATGCAATTGCACAAGTTATGATACTACCATGTGCAGATTAGTACGGTTGGCTACGTACGGTGCGAAAGAAATTCAACCTACAACGTACTGCAGGGATTCATATTTTTGGTTCTTTCGGTAAAGTCACCACGTAGAAGGGAAACAATAAAATAGTAAAATATAGTTTTATATTTTTGTTATTTTATATTTTTATTATTTTATTGTTTTCCCTTCTACGTGACTTTACCGAAAGAACCAATAATATACAACGTACTGTAAAGTAGGTAATACAGAAATGCAGTTTAAAGTGCGTTAAATATAAAATTTGCAGTATTAACTTTATGCCAAATCTTAATTGTATTGTTACAGTTATACGAATTACGCGAATTTACAGGAACTACGTTGTACATGTTAGAACGTACAGTTTTATTTAAAGATTATATGTAAAGCACTGTCTTGGTCAGCCACACCCAAACATTTGCCCTGAATCTGCTGGACACGTTGCCAGTCGCAAGAATATACTTACAATTAGCATGAAAATTAAAAGTATAAAAAGGAAATGACAATTATCACCTACGTTCAAGTTATTTCTAATATTGTCGACGTCATATCGGTTATATTAATAATGATGATGATAATGTACAGGGTGGTACTGACGTCTTACAATACCTCAACCCCCCCATTTAAAGTTTGGTTTATTTAAACTAGACATGAATATGCCAAAGGAAACAAAAATATATTAGGGGGTCAATTAATCAGGGTAACAAGACATCGGGACCACCCTGTAGATTGCATAACAATGCACAGTCCTTTATATTCTTGGCTATTTCGGTAAAGTCACGTAGAAGGGAAACAAAATAATAAAAATATAAAATAACAAATATAACACTTTTTTTATTTTATTGTTTCCCTTCGACGTGACTTTACCGAATGAACCAAGAATATGAATCCCTGCAGTCACGAAAGCTTTAAATCAAAATTTTACAGTCCTTTAGTCAATCCACTGTTGGATGAGTCTCCTCGCGTCGTTGAGATCTAATTGACCATACTTCACCGCCCTGGTTAACGTGGGTTAATTGCAAATGTGCAGCGCTTTGCGACCTCTTGAGTAAAACCGCGCTTTATAAGCGTAAATTATTGTTATTACGAACGCGCATACTCTAAGTTTGAAAGTCAAAGCGAGAGGGATTTCCTGCATCAAATGCACGTTGAAGGCACTGGTGTTCATCTCCTGTTTAACTGACCTCCAGAGCCAGCGGTGGAAATTCCACATTACTTTGACGGCAGAGGCGTAGGACAAACTGGAAGAACCACACAGAGCCAACTGTGTTTGGCCATGTTTTTGTTTATTGTAGTACGGAGTTAGACTGATGGCCTTAATCAAAGTTGTCTTGTTGTTGTTATTTTGACTTGCATCCTACTGGGATTTTTGCACACAGCGTTGGTGTACGGTGCTTTTTCAGGAATATTTTGATGTTTTTTTCCTGGATTTTCTGTTTGCACATTCACAAAATCACTTTAAGATGTTTTTCTTGTTCGTGTTTTTATTTGTTGAGGTTGCACCAGATTCAAGAGCTGAATGGCTCACAGGGCTATACCAAATAAATGGAACTAATGAAACTATGAACTATGTGTCTGACATGACATTAAAGCTAACGACGTATTTACGAATCGTCGCTCGGAGGAAAAAAACCCAACATCTATACAATTAACAATAACAATTAGAATTACTTTTTAAAAGATATTGCATGTGCGCAGTTCACACGTGTATCTTATAACATAAAAATAACACATTTGAAAATCACTGCTAAGAGATGAGACGACACACATACTATTAAAAAAAATATATACGTTTTAAAAATATATATATTTATTTTTTGTGTGTGTGTGCGCATTTCACGTGTGTGTATTTGATCATTGCCATCCTTAGATGCTTCAGGTGTGCAGGGCGTCCCTTCCCAGTGCAACCGGTCAGGCCGGCTTGTCCTCCAAGCCCACTAAGCCCACCACCAGCTCCACGAAAGGTGAGAAGTTGACACTCAACCGCTTCGGGGGGGGGTAATATCATGAATCAACGGGTGACATCACGGTGTAAATGTCAAAGCCACTCGCGTGTAAGATGCGCACGCACGCACGCGCGCGTTGTTGTAACGGGGGCAATTATGGCCGTATATCTAATATCAGGGGCGGAGCCAGGGGGGGTGACAGGGGTGACATTCTGCGTATAAGTGTACGACACTCGGTCTGGCGGAGTCCGTGCAACTGCATCGTCAGAGTGTGTCGCCAACCGATGGTCGTCTGGTTCAACAGCCTGACTCTCTTTAAATCATTCTTGAAATTAACATTTGTTGAATGTCACCCCGGCCTGAAAATCCTGGCTCCGCTCCTGTCTAATATTATTCCGACAATTAAAATCTAGATTTCAATCTCACGTCTTTAAACCTGATTTTTGTGTGTTAAGTTTGTTGTCCTTCCCCCGTACCTCCGATTAGCACGGTCGGCTACGTACGGTGCAACAAAAGTTCAGCGTACATGCTTACATACATCCGTCTTGCTCTGTGTGCTGGGATAGTTTTTGTATGGGGGGGAACAGAATTTATTTGCTTAAGAAGCGCCCAGCATGTGGAGCCCCAGTCCACTGTGTCTGACACGGCCATTATGAGCTCGTCGGAAGAATCTGATGTGCTCATTAAGCTCGTTCACAGATGGTCCAGTAGGTGCACGGGGTCAGAACGTTCCAACAACAAAGTTACAAAAGCACGATAGGCGTGCAAAGTAAAGGAAATGCCAGCAAATAACTAAAAAAACTAAAACACGTTTTTATTTCAACAGGTGAAGGCCACTTCAGCTATTAGCTTCTTTTCCAGACGTGACCTGCCCACAAAAGATAGCTCAACGAAGTGGCTCGTCACCACCATCATCGCGTAGAAATTTATAGCAGCCAAATAATAATAATAATGCAAAATAATCATACCTAAGGGCTTGAACGCAGACTCTCAGTAGTGCTGACTCAGAGATTGTGACACAGGCATTATGAGCTCTGATATAATAAGTAATATTTAAAACAACTTTTTTAAAAACACGCTTTAATGAAATGTACCGTACGAGTAATGGCAGAACTCCACGACTCCAGGAAGTGGCCCCGAAGCTTGCCACAACGTAATGGGACCCGTGGTGATTTACAGCCAATGTGAGTTGAGCGTGGACAATTAGACCCAAGCCGGAACATAAGATATAAAAAAGATTGCTTAAACATATTTTTAAAATTGTTTTTATGATAGAACATAGTATTGTCATCAGTATGACATAAGTATACTAAGTTTGCAGTCGATACATCATTGGGAAGTGGGTTAAAATTGAGTTACAAGATTTGAGGATACAACAACAGACAGAGTTGAGTATACAACAGACAGTGAGTTAAATAAAAGCGTGTAAAAAAGAGAGTTAGTTACTCTGCGAGCCCCAAAGCTTGAACACAATTTCACACCTGATAGGCTCACAGCGATGACATCACCTTTACTCTATCCATACCTCCTTATCAGTGCCTACTTACAGACCAGTTCAGACCTTTTCGGTCACCCCGTGCCCCTATAAATCTCAACGTTCGTCCTACAAAGTCCCCTCGCAAGGGAGAAGCACAAACAACAAAACAAAAACAAAAATTGCCCGTATTGAAACGGCTGTACGCCGTATGGACCTGAAAATTCAATTTCCCTGTACAAGAATACGGGGTGAACGGCATGGTTTGACAGGTATGCTCCATTTAAGACCGGAAACAGGAAGACTTCCTAACAATTCTGGCAGATCGCCTGATGAAGCCGGTTGTAATCACCAATGAAACGTCACAGGACTCGAATTGCAATTATTGTGTGTTTACTCTCCAAAATGCCAGTGTGCTGAAGCAGTAACTGTTTGGCACGTCTTTTCGGGTGGTGGCGGGTTAACGACACATTTATATTTGCGCCATCGAACCCAAAAAAACCTCTGTTATGAGTAATATTTGCTCGCGAAAGCCTACGTGTGAAACTGAATTCCTTTCGTGTTCGCTCAGCATCTAAAATAGCCATTCCGCTTATTATTAACCTGTCGAGAAAGGCTGACCGGCACACCCACTTCCATAACTTGAACTCAGGAATTCACTTGTTGGTTCAGCGTCTCTCACGCAACCATTGTAAACCCTTCTGATAGAAATCCAGACCCGATGTTCGAGCCCACGATCTCAGCAGTGCTTGCTCAGTATCTTAATAAATTAAACTAAACTAAGCTAAACTATGTTTTGCCATGCAAGGCCTACCGAGCTATGTCACTCTTTTTGAGAAGCGACGTGGCCAGCACAAATGACAGCTCAGCGAAGTGGCTTATCGTCGTGTTGGGAATTTAGAGCGGCCAAATACTCTTCAACGCACGTCGACTCTAAATGTGGAGGGGAAAAAACAAGTCCCGGAGGAAAATCCACGCGGCCACAGGGAGAGACACGCAAACTCCAAATATACAGCAGCAGGTGTCAGGGTCTCGATCGAACCCCCGACCTCCTGTAGACCAGGCGAGGTAGTTAACATCTTACCACCGTGAAGATGATGATGACGATAGAGAGAGAGAGACACGCAAACTCCAAATATACAGCAGCAGGTGTCAGGGTCTCGATCGAACCCCCGACCTCCCGTAGACCAGGCGAGGTAGTTAACATCGTACCACCGTGAAGATGATGATGATGACGATAGAGAGAGAGAGACACGCAAACTCCAAATATACAGCAGCAGGTGTCAGGGTCTCGATCGAACCCCCGACCTCCCGTAGACCAGGCGAGGTAGTTAACATCTTAATACCGTGATGATGATGATGACGATAGAGAAGGAGACACGCAAACTCCAAATATACAGCAGCAGGTGTCAGGGTCGGGATAAAACAACACGACCTCCTGCATACCAGATGAGGTAGTTAACATCTCGCCACTGTGATGACGATAGAGACAAAGACACGCAAACTCCAAATATACACCATGCGTCATGGTCGGCATAAAACAACACGACCTCCTGCATACCAGGCGAGGTCGTTAACATCTGGTAAATGTAAAATTGTGGTTTGAAAAAAACAAAAAATGTACTTTCAAATTGTACTCCCGCCGCACAGACGCGGGGGCCACCAAGGCCAAAGGCTCGCCCGCCACGGCTCTCGGCGGCGGCGGCAACAAGGCGGCCCCCAAGGCGGCCCCCAAGGCGACCCCCAAGGCGGCGGCCGCCGGGCCCCCTCCTCCGGCCAGCGCGGCCAGCGCCAACATGTCCGCCCTCCAAGGTAGCGGCGCTGGGGCGGCCACAGGGCTCCTCGCACCGTCGTAGCTGGGGCCTGCTGCGATGGCGTCAATTTCAACGATGCGTCGCGTCTCAATTCCGCGACGTGACGGATGGATTGTTGTGACGTCGGTGGCCCGTCACGTGGCAAGCAGTTGTGTTATCGTAACACGTCGCCTTTCGCGAGCAATGTCATCCGTAACACAGGTGTTTTTTTTAGTTAGATTCCATAAATATATCAACGTGTCGTTGATCCCGCCACCACCCGACGCAGCCAATTAGGAAGGTTTTTTTCACGTGAACAGAACGTGCAAAGTCAGAATGAAACTGCAGGATTTCTCCACAAATCTGTCTTGTCGACCGATGAAGCTAATTGTAATCACCGGAACTTAAGAGTGTAAATGTCGTGGCTTTCCTCTCCAACACACTACTGGTGTGTTGTACTAGTATACTACACTATACACTACATTATACACTACATTATACACTACACTATACACTAGTGCTGTACTAGTATACTACACTATACACTACACTATACACTAGTGCTGTACTAGTATACTACACTATACACTACACTACACACTAGTGCTGTACTAGTATACTACACTATACACTACACTACACACTAGTGCTGTACTAGTATACTACACTATACACTACACTATACACTAGTGCTGTACTAGTATACTACACTATACACTACACTATACACTACACTATACACTACACTATGCACTACACACTAGTGCTGTACTAGTATACTACACTATACACTACACTATACTACACACTAGTGCTGTACTAGTATACTACACTATACACTACACTATACACTAGTGCTGTACTAGTATACTACACTATACACTACACAGTAGTGCTGTACTAGTATACTACACTATACGCTATACACTAGTGCTGTACTAGTATACTACACTATACACTACACTATGCACTACACACTAGTGCTGTACTAGTATACTACATTATACACTACACTATACTACACACTAGTGCTGTACTAGTATACTACACTATACACTACACACTATACTACACACTAGTGCTGTACTAGTATACTACACTATACACTAGTGCTGTACTAGTATACTACACTATACACTACACAGTAGTGCTGTACTAGTATACTACACTATACACTACACTATACTACACACTAGTGCTGTACTAGTATACTACACTATACACTAGTGCTGTACTAGTATACTACACTATACACTACACAGTAGTGCTGTACTAGTATACTACACTATACGCTATACACTAGTGCTGTACTAGTATACTACACTATACACTACACTATACACTACACTATGCACTACACACTAGTGCTGTACTAGTATACTACATTATACACTACACTATACTACACACTAGTGCTGTACTAGTATACTACACTATACACTATACTACACACTAGTGCTGTACTAGTATACTACACTATACACTACACTATACACGAGCGCTGTACTCGTAACGAATTGGCCCGTTCCGTTCACGCGAAACTGAACCTTACTAATTGGCTGTGCCGGGTGGCGGCGGGGTTTAACGACACGTACGTTAACGCGATTCTAACCGTGAAAAACAAACCTGTGTCACGGAGTTGCATTGTTGCCGTAGCCGGGCAGCGGCCGCCTCAAAGGCCGAGCACTGTCCTGCGTCGTGGTTGATCTCGGCGAGCTCCTCCGCTATCCTCGCAGTGCCAGCAGCGGCGGCTTTTGGCTTTTGGCTCGGCCACCGAACAAAGACGGTGGTGGTCACCGCGTCATCGCCGCGGCGCTTTCGGATGCGCTGCTCCTGCGGCCGTCTGGAACGCTCTTCCTTCCGTTGTTAGGAAGCCACTGGGAGCTACGAACTTTAAAATCGTCCCGATTGACAAACTGACCCCTTTAGAAGTGCCTTTGCTTTTTAATTTGTCGTCCTTCAGCCGCACCTCCGATTAGCGCGTTCCGATGACGTACTCTATCGGTACCGAGGCTCCCACAAGGCCACTCGGGAGGGCGTGTGGCATAGTTTTTGCCGCCGGCTATTGTAGAATGCGGCACGTGTACGTCGTCAAAACGGAATCGGAGGAAAAACACGAATAGAATAACCTTATCGGTACCGAGGCTCTCACAAGGCCCACACGGGGGAGTTGCGTGTGGCACAGTTTGGCGGCGGCGGCGGTTGTGTCGCTACGGTTTTCTGCGGTTAAGTACAGTGTCTTTCATAACAGCGGCGCTGTGCCTCAGCATATAAAATGAACGCCGAACCGCTTGCGCGCGTTCCGAGATTTTGCGCTGAACGACCACCACCCTCCAGGCATCTCGGATATGGGTAAGGCTTTGAAAGCAAAGGAAATGATGAGGTCGTACACACCTCATGCACCTCATTACGCCGAGAAACGTTTGACGGTCAATGGATTTCATGTTCATTGGCAGTTTTTTTTTCTTCTGTGAAGTTAAATTAGTTTAAAGGATGTGCTTTGCAGGTTTAGTTCGTGAGCCAATCGTCGTAGAGTTCCTCTATCAACGCACACCACTGGGTGAAGGCCCTCCTCGTGGCACGTCACTCACGAGAGGTCGTTCGACCATACTTCGCCACGCTGTCGGTTTAGCGCGATACCGTTAGCCAATCCCCGGGAATCTTGCCGGCCCTCTCGACTCCCGCCACATCTGCCGGCCCCCCACCACGGTGACTGCCGCCCTCCGCCGCTTCCTTCAAGCGACGAATCTCGGAAGACTCCGGGAGCGTTTATGCTGCTTCTTTACCCCTACGTCAGGCCTTGTCCGTCTCTGCTTCCTTGGCCGGGGACCGCTCATTCCTCCTCCTCCTCCTCCCCCCGCACCCCCTGCACCCCGCCACCGGACAGGATCTTCGCCCGCCGTGACGCCGCCGACGCCGACATTGCCGCGCCGCCTTCTATTCCTCTTCGCCGTCAAAACCGCTTGCGTGGCGCCGGTCGAGGCCGCGCGGATATACACATACAGACACACACAACAACAACAACCGCCATTCGCCACTAAGTGGCGGTGACGTCACCACGACGCTTGTGCCAGGCCATGTGCACGTTGAGGCCACGGGAAGTGTCGAACGCCCGCCGGCAGGAGGTCACGGGGCAGACCCAGGTGCCACGGGTCGACTGACAAAGACGACTGAGACGACTGGCCGATGCACCGCCTGTGCCCCCTACTGTGCCAACCTGCTGTGCTTTAGCCTCCCGGCTCTCCGCTCGTTGTTGTGATATATTCACACAAACGCTCGGACGACGGCGCCCGTTCCCACCGCTTGTGCTCCGTGGTGCTAATCTATTCCTGTCGGTGTGGCGGTGGCGGGGGCGTTGCCCGTTCTTCGGAGTGGCCTGCACGAAAAAAAATCTTACTGTTCGCCTTCACCCCTCGTTCACGCCGGCTACTGCGCAGAACCTATTCGGCCCGTTCTGACCTTGTTTTTTGGCCGGGTGCGCGGATCCGCTCGCCGCTGCGCCCCGGTCCGAGTATTTGGTGGTCCGCCGAGCAGCAAGCAAAAACAAATTCTCATTGGCCTCCCAGCACGCCGTTCCGCCCTCTCGGGAAGCGTTTTACTCGGGCCGCCGTCGATGCGGCGTTCCACCGGGTCGTGCGGTGCCCCGTTGCCTGCCGCCGCCGCCGCAGCCGCCACCGCTGCTGCAGCCGCAGCCGCAGCCGCGACCGCAGCCGCCGCCACAGCCGCCACAGCCGCCACAGCCGCCGCCGCCGCCACGGCCGCCGCCACAGCCGCCGCCGCCGGTGCAGCCGCTCGCGTGACCGGGAGGCGATGGCGATGCTTTTTAGTGCCGTGGTTTCTTTTTGCTTTCCCTCTCTCTCTCTCTCTTTTCTCCGGCCGGTCTGTTCTTCCTTGGGGTTCAGCTCCCCCCTCCCCCACGTGAGGTTTTAGCTGAGGAAGCCGGCGACGGGGTGCGAGAGAGACGTCCGCCCGGGTGGCGTGAGTTGGGGCGGTGGCGACCCGCGGAGGCCTTCATCCAGCAGTGGATTGATCGTAGCTGGCCACGGTGAAAGTCCCTTTTGAGGCAACGGCTTTTGGAGTAATGTTTTTGTTCGTATCGGAGACTTGTGTCATGCACTCTCCACCACCCCCTCCCCCGTTCTTTGTATAGACAACGCGAATGGACCGCGCTAACGAATTAACGCTTTCATCCTTAGCCGGAACGCGTTAACGACTCTCGCGGCGAATTAACGCTTTAAACCTTAGCCGGAATGCGTTAACGACACTCACGGCGACGCAGTGAGTATGTATTCATATATATATATCTCCGCACCTGATATCTCGACCGACGCTGAAACGACTTCCTTCAGGCGCCACCTACGGAGAGATCCTCCGGAAGGAAGCCAAGAAGAAGGATCCGCAGTCGAGTAGCTCCAGCTCCGATTCGGACCGGGAACAAAAGCCGTCCTCCCATCCTCCACCTCGCTCTGCGTGCAAGAAGACGCCCGGCGCTCCGCCCAAGGCCGCGGTGATTTTGGAGAAACCGACGGAAGAGACCGCCACGGCCGCCGCCGCCAAGCCGTCGAAGGCCGAGTCGGCCGAGGGCGGCGACGAATCGAAGGCGACGACAACGGCCGACGCGCCCGAGGGCCCTGGCACGTCGGAGTCGGCCGCGGGAGTTGCCGAGGACCGCGACGGAGCCAAGAAGGCGGCCAAGAAGGCGGCCAAGAAGGCGGCCAAGAAGCGGGAGAAGGCCGAGGCCCAGGCTCCGCCGGCGATGGGCGGACGTCCGCAAGAGGAAGGGGGAGGGCTCGGGGTCGCGGACGACGCCGCCGCGGGGGCGATCGCCGGTGCCGCGGAGGCATCGGCGGCGGCGGAACCGGGGTCGGGGAAGCGCGGCGACGCCGAAGAATTGGTGGACGCGGCGCCACAAGTGGCGGCAGCGGAGGAGGAGGAGCTCGGCGACGGAGGAGGCGCGGTGACGGAGGGACGCCGGGGGGAGGTGGACAACGCCGCCGGCGTGGAGGCGAGAGGGAAGGAGGCCGGGCGGGAGGAATTGAAGGGGGCGGAGGTGAAAGGGGAGGAATTGAAGGGGGCGGATGCCGAAGGGGGGGCGGCAGTCGAAGAGATCGAGGGAGCGGAGGTGAAGGCGGTGGCGGTGGCGGCACCGGAAGAGGGCGGCCAGGCCACCGGGGATCCGTCGGCCGGGTTGGAACCCGGCACTGGGGCAGCTTCCTCCGGAACGGAGGAGACCATCGCTCGGGGTAATGAGAGGCGGGGGGCGGATGCATGGGGGAGGTGGAGGCTCAAGAGGTGGATTAGTTAAGGTGACCGGTGCGAGGCTTAGGGGTTAACCGACGTTGGGTAAATGGTCGGGCTAAGGTGTACGCATTGTTGTCACGGTAATGAGCGGGCGGGGGGAGAGGAGGGACTGGTCGTGGAGCGAATTCGTAAACAAAAAACGCTCGCAAATTTGCCCGCTTTGGCGGTGGCAGCGGCACCGTGGGCGATGGCTTGCCCTTGAGCTGCTGCTGAGGCGGCGGCGGCGTTGACGAAGACCCAAACGTCCTCGGCTTGTGGTTCACGGCGGGCGCGACCGTAATCCGTCGTTTCCTCTCCGCAGCGTCGCCGCCGGAGCCGCCGGAGCCGTTGGACAACTCGTCGTACCGCAACACGGAGCACTGGGCCTACACACCGCACACCTACGCCGACGTGGACGTGGACCTGGCAGCCTTGCGCCAACCGCAGCCGTCGTCACGCGGATAGGCCCCTCCCTTAGCCACGCCCCCTTAGCCACGCCCCCTTAGCCACACTCCCGCCCCGCCAGCCACGCCCCCGCCCCCCCCAGTCATACCCCTAGCCACACATTGCGGCCATGCTCCCCAAGCCATACTCCCAGCCACGCCCCCTTAGTCACACGCCCCCTGAGTCACACTCCCCCCCCAGCCACGCCCCCTTAGTCACACGCCCCCTGAGTCACACTACCCCCCAGCCACGCCCCAGCCACGCCCCCTTAGTCACACTCCCCCACAGCCACGCCCCCTGAGCTCCACTCCCCGCCCCCCTCCCAGCCACTCTCACCAGCAATGCCACAATCTGTGCAGCAGCAACGTCATTCAGCCATGCCCACTTGGCCACACCCCCCCCCCCCAGCAAACCCTCCAGCCTCCCCTCCCCCAGCGACCCCCTCAGCCTCCCCCCCCCAGCCTCCCCTCCCCCAGCGACCCCCCCTACAAGATCTGACCAACCCACAATGTGAGTCTCCCAGGGACTCCCATTGGGTCTCCCCCCCCCCCCCCCTGCTCCCTACATATTGTAATGTTCTGATGAGGAGTCCGAGTAACCCTGTAACTAATGTAATTAAAGAGAATTGTCATCCACCGAGCAAGTTTGTGGCATTTGTAGAATATGACGACGTGCATTCTGGGGGCGGGGGTGGAGGTGTTAATTTAAAGATTTATTATAAACAGGCGAAGTGCTTAAGAACCCCACACGCAACCCCATTAACTCCTACAACACAATAAAAATACCACCGGGAGCCCGCCCACCACCACCACCGCTACGTGCGCTTGCCACCGACACATTTAATAGGGGGCACCCCCAGCGGCAGCTGTCCGTGTGGCACGAGGTGACTCTGTACCCTGCCCTGCGAGCTGGCATCAGTCTGCTGCCAGTAGCAGAGTGGCGATGGTTGCTGCTGCGGTCTAGCCTAGGGGACACCCCCAGTGGCAGCTGTCCCTCCGCATCAGTCTGCCAGTAGCAGAGTGGCGATGGTTGCTGCTGCTGTGGTCTAGCCTAGAGGCACCCCCAGTGGCAGCTGTCCCTGTGCATCAGTCTGCCAGTAGCAGAGTGGCGATGGTTGCTGCTGCTGTGGTCTAGCCTAGGGGACACCCCCAGTGGCAGCTGTCCCTCCGCATCAGTCTGCCAGTAGCAGAGTGGCGATGGTTGCTGCTGCTGTGGTCTAGCCTAGGGGACACCCCCAGTGGCAGCTGTCCCTCCGCATCAGTCTGCCAGTAGCAGAGTGGCGATGGTTGCTGCTGCTGCTGTCTAGCCTAGGGGCACCCCCAGCGGCAGCTGTCCCCAGTGCGGCACGAGGCGACTGCACCTGGCCCTTCGAGCTGGCGTTCAGTCTTCCGCCAGTAGGGGGGGAGGGAGGGGGGGTGGTTGTCGTCTGCGTAGAACCCCGCTTTGAGTAACTTGCAGGGTACACTTTTTTGTTCATCGAATTTGGCCAAACCTGGACCTTGGGACACGCGTGGCACGCGATGGAGGCCCTCCCCCCCCCTGCTCTTGCGAACCACGTCGTCGCCTGGGGCATCTTTAACGTCCATTTTGGCCGAAGCAGGCGGCGCGTCGTCGCAGTAGTAGTAGTAGTGCAGTGAGCCCAGGGACGAGAGGGAGCCGGCAGTTGAGGCGACACTTTTATTTAGCAACACTAATGTACAGGCTCCCTAACACTAAGGGGTAACGGGCCCCTTACACCCGCTACCTGGGGAGGTACGGCCTCCGGGCCATCGTGCCTCCTCACACTGGGGACCGCTCTGCGCCCAGCCCTCCGGCTAGGGGCCCTAGGGGAGGCTACCCTGACCCGGCCACTGGCCCTCTCAGTCCCGGCCCTTACAAGGACGTCGGATCTGGGGGCCTCAGGGTCCTGCTCTAAGCCCGGTCTTCAGTCTTCGGCTTGAGGAACACTGCCGAAGCCGGGTCAGGGGTCCGGCTTTTATACGCCTGGCCACGCCTCCCTTCCAGAGGGTTCCAGAGGGACCTGGAATCTTCCCCCAGCCCCCCCCCGTCTTGGGGTCTGGGGAACCTCAGTTGCCCACACATCACACCCTACTGGTGGATGTCTGCTAGTGCAGGTAACTACCCCGTTTATTGCGTTGCAGTAGTAATGATAATGTAGTGGTAGTAGTAATGATAATGTAGTAGTAGTGGTAGTAGTAGTAGTGATAATGTAGTAGTAGTAATGATAATGTAGTGGTAGTAGTAATGATAATGTAGTGGTAGTAGTAATGATAATGTAGTAGTGGTAGTAATGATAATGTAGTAGTTGTAGTGGTAGTAGTAATGATAATGTAGTGGTAGTAGTAATGATAATGTAGTAGTAGTGGTAGTAGTAATGATAATGTAGTGATAATGTAGTAGTGGTAGTAGTAATGATAATGTAGTAGTGATAATGTAGTAGTAGTAGTAATGATAATGTAGTGGTAGTAGTAATGATAATGTAGTGGTAGTAGTAATGATAATGTAGTAGTAGTGGTAGTGATGATAATGTAGAAGTGGTGGTAGTAATGATAATGTAGAAGTAGTGGTAGTAGTAATGATAATGTAGTAGTGATAATGCAGTAGTGGTAGTAGTAGTAATGATAATGTAATAGTAGTAATGATAATGTAGTGGTAATAATAGTAATGATAATGTAATAGTAATGATAATGTAGTAGTAGTGGTAGTAGTAATGATAATGTAGTAGTGATAACGCAGTAGTGGTAGTAGTAGTAATGATAATGTAATAGTAGTAATGATAATGTAGTAGTAGTGGTAGTAATGATAATGTAGAAGTATTGGTAGTAGTAATGATAATGCAGTAGTAGTGGTAGTAGTAATGATAATGTAATAGTAGTAATGATAATGTAGTAGTAGTGGTAGTAGCAGTAATGATAAAGTAATAGTAGTAATGATAATGTAGTAATGATAAAGTAATAGTAATGATAATGTAGTGGTAGTATCAGTAATGATAATGTAGTAATGATAATGTAATAGTAATGTAGTAGTAGTGATAGTATCAGTAATGATAAAGTAATAGTAATGATAATGTAGTAGTAGTGGTAGTAATGATAATGTAATAGTAATGATAATGTAGTAGTAGTGGTAGTAGTAATGATAAAGTAATAGTAATGATAATGTAGTGGTAGTATCAGTAATGATAATGTAATAGTAATGTAGTAGTAGTGGTAGTATCAGTAATGATAATGTAATAGTAATGATAATGTAGTGGTAGTAGTAATGATAAAGTAATAGTAATGATAATGTAGTGGTAGTATCAGTAATGATAATGTAATAGTAATGCAGTAGTGGTAGTATCAGTAATGATAAAGTAATAGTAGTAATGATAAAGTAGTAGTAATGATAAAGTAGTAGTAATGATAAAGTAGTAGTAATGATAAAGTAGTAGTAGTGATAAAGTAGTAATGATAAAGTAGTAGTAATGATAAAGTAGTAGTAATGATAAAGTAGTAGTAATAGTAGTAATGATAAAGTAGTAGTAATGATAAAGTAATAGTAGTAATGATAAAGTAGTAGTAATGATAAAGTAGTAATGATAAAGTAGTAGTAATGATAAAGTAATAGTAATGATAATGTAGTAGTAATGATAAAGTAGTAGTAATGATAAAGTAGTAATGATAATGTAGTAATGATAAAGTAATAGTAATGATAAAGTAGTAATAGTAATGATAAAGTAGTAGTAATGATAATGTAGTAGTAATAGTAGTAATGATAAAGTAGTAGTAATAGTAGTAATGATAAAGTAGTAGTAATAGTAGTAATGATAAAGTAGTAGTAATAGTAGTAATGATAAAGTAGTAGTAATAATGTAGTAATGATAAAGTAGTAGTAATGATAAAGTAATAGTAATGATAAAGTAGTAGTAATGATAAAGTAATAGTAGTAATGATAAAGTAGTAGTAGTAATGATAAAGTAGTAATAGTAGTAATGATAAAGTAGTAGTAGTAATGATAAAGTAGTAGTAATGATAATAAAGTAGTAGTAGTAATGATAAGAAAGTAGTGGTAAGGGTGAATACAAGTTGAGTAACAGCCAGGGATGCTCTAGCGGCTTCGTATCGCGAACCTCTCCAACAAGCGACGGACGATGATGACGAGGCCATCATGAACACCCCCCTAACCGAGAGCAATAGACACTCAAGATCCAGAGGGGACATGCACACAGGATCCTCCCGTAGGGCCGACTCGGCACGTCTGACACGGCCATTACGAACCACCACGTGTGTCCATTTGTGTGCGTGTGGTGGGGAGCGGTGGTGCAGCGGTTAGCGCGCTACGACCCGTGTTTAGATTCCCGCTCACGGCCAGCACCGGTGACGATTAACTATCTGAAGCTCTCCTGGGCCCTCCCCTAGGTCCACGTGTCCAGGTGTCGTGCCTGCGTGTCCGCGTGTCGTGTCCGTGTGTCCGCGGGACGTGTCCGCGTGCCCGTGTGTCCGCGTGCCTGTGTGTCCGCGTGTCCATGTGTCCGCGTGACGTGTCCGCGTGACGTGTCCGCGTGCCTGTGTCCGCGTGACGTGTCCCGGGGGCTGCCCCTCATGTTCTGTGGCTCAGGCAGCCCTCGGTCTGAGCCTCCATGGGCCAGTCTCCCACGTGGTGAACCGCCTCGTCCTTGTGCACGATCTGTGGGGGGTACACACACAGGTCATCATTACCACCATCTACAGCCAGGGTCTTTCCACTGCTGGATGCAGGCCACGCCACGGTCGCCCCTCACACTCTCTGGCGTGTAGTTGCTCGCACGCTCACGTACTCTGGCACCCACTCGCTCACCGGCCCACTCGCCCACCCGCTCACAGACTCATTCACACATACACCCGCTCATCGACCCACTCGCTCACCGACCCACTCACACACCCGCTCACTGACTCATTCACACACACATACACTTGCTCACCAACCCACTCGCTCACCGACTCGCTCACCCACTCGCTCACCGACTCATTCACACATACACTTGCTCACCGACCTCCTCGCTCACCGACCCACTCGCTCACCGACCCGCTCACATACCTGCTCACTGACTCATTCACACACACACATACTTACTCACCGACTCGCTCACCGACTTTCTCACCGACTCGCCCACACACCCGCTCACCGACTCACTCAGTCACCCACTAGCTCACCCCTACTCCTACCGGTTCACCCCTAACTCAATCATCCACCCACTAACTCACCCACACATTCACCCATAGATGGCCGCGTCCCACAGGGGCATCTACATCTGCAGAACGTGAAGAACCAGTGGCATCTACGTCTATAGAATGTGAAGAACCAGTGGCATCTACATCTGCAGAACGTGAAGAACCAGTGGCATCTACATCTGCAGAACGTGAACAACCAGTGGCATCTACATCTGCAGAACGTGAAGAACCAGTGGCATCAACATCTACAGAACGTGAAGAACCAGTGGCAGCTACATCTGTATAACGTGAAGAACCAGTGGCATCTACATCTGCAGAACGTGAAGAACCAGTGGCATCTACATCTGCAGAACGTGAAGAACCAGTGGCATATATATCTGCAGAATGTGAAGAACCAGTGGCATCTACATCTGCAGAACGTGAAGAACCAGTAGCATCTACATCTGCAAAACGTGAAGAACCAGTGGCATCTACATCTGCAGAACGTGAAGAACCAGTGGCATTTACATCTGCAGAACGTGAAGAACCAGTGGCATCTACATCTGCAGAACGTGAAGAACCAGTGGCATCTACATCTGCAGAACGTGAACAACCAGTGGCATCTACATCTGCAGAACGTGAAGAACCAGTGGCATCTACATCTGCAGAACGTGAACAACCAGTGGCATCTACATCTGCAGAACGTGAACAACCAGTGGCATCTACATCTATAGAATGTGAAGAACCAGTGGCATCTACATCTATTGAATGTGAAGAACCAGTGGCATCTACGTCTGCAGAACATGAAGAACCAGTGGCATCTACATCTGCAGAACGTGAAGAACCAGTGGCATTTACATCTATAGAATGTGAAGAATCAGTGGCATCTACGTCTGCAGAACGTGAAGAACCAGCGGCATCTACATCTGCAGAACGTGAACAACCAGTGGCATCTACATCTGCAGAACGTGAAGAACCGGTGGCATCTACAGCTGCAGAACGTGAAGAACCAGTGGCATTTACATCTGCAGAACGTGAAGAACCAGTGGCATCTACATCTGCAGAACGTGAAGAACCAGTGGCATCTACATCTGCAGAACGTGAACAACCAGTGGCATCTACATCTGCAGAACGTGAAGAACCAGTGGCATCTACATCTGCAGAACGTGAACAACCAGTGGCATCTACATCTGCAGAACGTGAACAACCAGTGGCATCTACATCTATAGAATGTGAAGAACCAGTGGCATCTACATCTATTGAATGTGAAGAACCAGTGGCATCTACGTCTGCAGAACATGAAGAACCAGTGGCATCTACATCTGCAGAACGTGAAGAACCAGTGGCATCTACATCTATAGAATGTGAAGAATCAGTGGCATCTACGTCTGCAGAACGTGAAGAACCAGCGGCATCTACATCTGCAGAACGTGAACAACCAGTGGCATCTACATCTGCAGAACGTGAAGAACCGGTGGCATCTACAGCTGCAGAACGTGAAGAACCAGTGGCATTTACATCTGCAGAACGTGAAGAACCAGTGGCATCTACATCTGCAGAACGTGAAGAACCAGTGGCATCTACATCTGCAGAACGTGAACAACCAGTGGCATCTACATCTGCAGAACGTGAAGAACCAGTGGCATCTACATCTGCAGAACGTGAACAACCAGTGGCATCTACATCTACAGAACGTGAACAACCAGTGGCATCTACATCTATAGAATGTGAAGAACCAGTGGCATCTACATCTATTGAATGTGAAGAACCAGTGGCATCTACGTCTGCAGAACATGAAGAACCAGTGGCATCTACATCTGCAGAACGTGAAGAACCAGTGGCATCTACATCTATAGAATGTGAAGAATCAGTGGCATCTACGTCTGCAGAACGTGAAGAACCAGCGGCATCTACATCTGCAGAACGTGAACAACCAGTGGCATCTACATCTGCAGAACGTGAAGAACCGGTGGCATCTACAGCTGCAGAACGTGAAGAACCGGTGGCATCTACATCTGCAGAACGCGAAGAACCAGTGGCATCTAAATCTGCAGAACGTGAAGAACCAGTGGCATCTACATCTGCAGAACGTGAAGAACCAGTGGCATCTACATCTGCCGATCGTACAACTTTTAAAGCCATTCCCCGTGGTTAGTGTACACACCGTACGACGCGTTTGGAAGCGACGGGAGAGTAAAGTTGGACTTACGAACGGAACAGGCAAACAAAACACGTTTTGTTTGCCAGATTGGCGTTTGAACATCTTAACATCTTATCGCCATGAAGGGTAGAGTATGGATCCTTGCAGTCACGAAAGCTTCAAATCTATAATCGATAACCTCTACGGAGAGGGCTTTCACCTATCTGTTAGAGCTTTCAACAGACAACGGGACAAGAAGTCAAAGCTCATCGAGACGCGCTGACCTTCCTCAAAAGATGCCGCGACCACACAGCTTAAAGGACGCGACCTGGGCTTGGCCGTCTTCACTCCGACGCTGTCCTCTGGACAGTCCGGTCCCTTCACCTGATGAAGGCCACTTGTGTCGTGGCCGAAACGTCGTGATTTTTTGTTATTTTATTTTTTACCTACGTGACTTTACCGAATAGAACCAAAGAGTATCAACGACGACTATTATTCTTAGTTTCCCGCATCTGCGAGTGGCCCGCCCGCCCGCCCGCCCGCCCACCACCTCACCTGCTCGTAGGTGCGTCCCAGGCTGTAGCCCTTGGCGGTGACGAGCACCCAGCTGTCACGGAACCGCAGCTCGTTGATCTTGGTGCTGCCCAGCTGCCCCAGGGCCGCCCGCACCTTCTCGTTCGTGCTGCGCTCGGGGTGGGAGGGCGGGCGGAGTGAGTGTACAGGTGTGTGTGTACAGATGTGTGTGTACAGGTGTGTGTGTGTATGTGTGTACAGGTGTGTATGTGTGTACAGGTGTGTATGTGTGTACAGGTGTGTGTGTACAGGTGTGTGTGTATGTGTATATAGGTGTGTGTGTGTACAGGTGTATGTGTACAGTCGACCCGTGGCACCTGGGTCTGCCCCGTGACCAACTGCCGGCGGGCGTTCGACACTTCACGTGGCCTCAGGGTGCACATAGCCTGGCACAAGCGTCGTGGTGACGTCACCGCCACTTAGTGGCGAATGGCGGTTGTTGTTGTGTATGTGTACAGGTGTGTGTGTGTATATAGGTGTGTGTGTGTACAGGTGTGTGTGTATATAGGTGTGTGTATGTACAGGTGTGTATATGAGTATATAGGTGTATGTGTATACAGGTGTGTGTATGTGTATATAGGTGTGTGTGTGTACAGGTGTGTGTATGTGCAGGTGTGTGTATGTGTATATAGGTGTGTGTGTATGTACAGGTGTGTGTATGTACAGGTGTGTGTGTACAGGTGTGTGTATGTGTATATAGGTGTATGTTTGTGTACAGGTGTGTGTATGTGTATATAGGTGTCTGTATGTGTATATAGGTGTGTGTATGTGTGTACGGGGGTGTGTGTGTGTACGGGTGTGTGTATGTGTATATAGGTGTGTGTATGTACAGGTGTGTGTGTATGTACAGGTGTGTGTGTACAGGTGTGTGTGTGTACAGGTGTGTGTATGTGTATATAGGTGTGTGTACAGGTGTGTGTATGTGTATATAGGTGTGTGTATGTACAGGTGTGTGTATGTGTATATAGGTGTGTGTATGTATGTACAGGTGTGTATGTCTATATAGGTGTGTGTACAGGTGTGTGTGTACAGGTGTGTGTGTGTCTGTACAGGTGTGTGTATGTGTATATAGGTGTGTGTGTGTACAGGTGTGTATGTGTATATAGGTGTGTGTATGTACAGGTGTGTGTTTGTGTATATAGGTGTGTGTGTATGTACAGGTATGTGTATATAGGTGTGTGTATATACAGGTGTATGTGTATATAGGTGTGTGTATGTACAGGTGTGTGTATGTGTATATAGGTGTGTGTGTGTACAGGTGTGTGTGTATATAGGCGTGTGTACAGGTGTGTGTATGTGTATATAGGTGTGTGTGTACAGGTGTGTGTGTGTGTACAGGTGTGTGTATGTGTATATAGGTGTGTGTGTACAGGTGTGTGTATGTGCATATAGATGTGTGTGGGGAGCGATAGTGTAGCGGTTAGCGCGCTGCGCTATGAACCTGGCGACCCGGGTTCGATTCCTGCTCACGACCAACACCACTGACGATTATCTGAACCGGTCCCGGGCCTCCCCTAGGTCGACTCAGCCTCAAATGAGTACCTGGTGCGGTGTGTAAACATCGCCACTAGGGAGACAAAGGCGGTCGGGCGTGGTGCTGGCCACCCACCCCCTCGTGTACCGTTCCGGCCTTAATAGGTGCTCGCTAACAGCACTTGCCCCTACAGTCTGTTAAGGCTAGGGATCTTTGTTTGTTTTGTGTGTGTATGTACAGGTGTGTGTAGCAGGGATCTGCAGTCAGGGGAGGCAGGTGAGAGCCAGAGCCTCAGCTGTCATACTCCAGTGCAAATAGCTGTTACGAAAAGTAATGAAAAAAGAATAATATAATAAAATAAATATTAAGATTTTCTTTTTTCCACTGATCTGTGTTATAAATGTCATTTCTGTACGATTCCAATAATTTTTATCGTCAAAATCGCCAAATTTGCGGAGCTCCGCTGCGAATACCGGGAGAGACGAGAGGTGAGGCAGCGACGAGCTCAGCCTCCCCTGTGATTGCGCAACCTCTCAGTAACTGGATGGAGCGCGGGGAATAAGCGCGTGCCTGTTACTATCTCAGCGTGTCACCAATGTAATGTTTGTAGACCCCTTCATTTCATGTCCTCGCCTTCCATACTCCAGGTAACTTATTTCACGTATGTGTATAAAGATATTTAGGCTCGCTGGTCTCGTCATGAAACTGCAATGAAAAAGCACCAGGGGAGGCAGCTATCACATCTGCCTCACCGAGGGGGACGTGAGTGAGTGAGCGAGCGAGGGAGAGATCGAGCGAGCGAGCGAGCGTGAGAGTGAACGAGTGAGTGAGCGATGGAGTGAGCGAGGAAGTGAGAGTGAGTGAGTGAGCGAGTGAGTGAGTGATAAGTGAGCGAGGAAGTGAGAGTGAGTGAGCGAGGGAGTGAGTGAGTGAGTGAGCGAGGAAGTGAGTGAGTGAGTGAGAGTGAGCGAGTGAGTGAGTGAACGAGTGAATGAGAGAGCGAGTGAGCGAATGAGTGAACGAGTGAATGAGAGAGCGAGCGAGTGAGTGAGCGAGTAAGTGAGAGTGAGCGAGTGAATGAGAGAGCGATTGAGTGATCGAGTGAGCGAGCGAGAGATCGAGTGAGTGAAGAAGTGAGCAAGGGAGTGAGTGAGAAAGTGAGTGAGTGATCGAGTGAGCGAGGAAGTGAGAGTGAGTGAGTGAGTGAGCGAGGGAGTGAGTGAGCGAGGGAGTGAGTGAGAAAGTGAGTGCGTGATACGTGAGCGAGGAAGTGAGAGTGAGTGAGTGAGCGAGCGAGGAAGTGAGTGAGCGAGGGAGTGAGTGAGTGATCGAGTGAGTGAGCGAGGGAGTGAGTGAGTGAGTGAGCGAGGAAGTGAGTGAGTGAGCGAGGGAGTGAGTGAGCGAGGGAGTGAGAGTGAGTGAGTGAGCGAGGGAGTGAGTGAGTGAGCGAGGGAGTGAGTGAGTGAGTGAGCGAGGGAGTGAGTGAGTGAGCGAGGGAGTGAGTGGGAAAGTGAGTGAGTGATAAGTGAGCGAGGAAGTGAGAGTGAGTGAGCGAGTGAGTGAGTGAGCGAGGGAGTGAGTGAGCGAGTGAGCGAGGAAGTGAGTGAGTGAGCGAGTGAGCGAGCGAGTGAGTGAGTGAGCGATGAGTGAGTGAGAGAGTGAGCGAGTGAGCGAGTGAGTAAGTGAGCGAGTGAGTGGGTGAGGGAGTGAGTGAGTGAGCGAGGAAGTGAGTGGGTGAGTGAGTGGGTGAGTGAGTAAGTGATCGAGCGAGTGAGCGAGGAAGTGAGTGAGCGAGGAAGTGAGTGAGTGAGTGAGTGGGCGAGTGAGTGAGCGAGTGAGTGAGTGAGTGAGCGAGTGAGTGAGTGATCGAGCGAGTGAGCGAGGAAGTGAGTGAGTGAGTGAGCGAGTGAGCGAGTGAGTAAGTGAGCGAGTGAGCGAGTGAGTGAGCGAGGGAGTGAGTGATCGAGCGAGTGAGCGAGGAAGTGAGTGAGTGAGCGAGTGAGCGAGTGAGTGAGTGAGTGATCGAGCGAGTGAGCGAGGAAGTGAGTGAGTGAGTGGGCGAGTGAGTGAGCGAGTGAGTGAGTGAGTGAGCGAGTGAGTGGGTGAGGGAGTGAGTGAGTGAGCGAGGAAGTGAGTGGGTGAGTGAGTGGGTGAGTGAGCGAGTGAGTGAGTGAGCGAGGAAGTGAGTGAGTGAGTGAGCGACCGAGTGAGTGAGTGAGCGAGTGAGCGAGTGAGTGAGTGAGTGGGTGAGTGAGCGAGTGAGTGGGTGAGTGAGCGAGTGAGTGGGTGAGTGAGCGAGTGAGTGGGTGAGTGAGTGAGTGAGTGACCGAGTGAGTGAGCGAGTGAGTGAGTGAGTGACCGAGTAAGTGAGCGAGTGAGTGAGTGAGTGAGCGAGTGAGTGGGTGAGTGAGTGAGTGAGCGAGTGGGTGAGTGAGCGAGTGAGTGGGTGAGTGAGCGAGTGAGTGGGTGAGTGAGCGAGTGAGTGGGTGAGTGAGTGAGTGAGTGACCGAGTGAGTGAGCGAGTGAGTGAGTGAGTGAGCGAGCGAGTGAGCGAGTGAGTGAGTGAGCGAGTGAGTGGGTGAGTGAGTGAGCGAGTGAGTGAGTGAGCGAGTGAGTGAGTGAGCGAGGGAGTGAGTGAGCGAGTGAGTGAGCGAGTGAGCGAGTGAGTGAGCGAGTGAGTGAGTGAGTGACCGAGTGAGTGACCGAGTGAGTGAGCGAGTGAGTGAGTGAGTGAGCGAGTGAGTGAGTGAGCGAGTGAGCGAGTGAGCGAGGGAGTGAGTGGGTGACTGAGTGAGTGAGCGAGCGAGTGAGCGAGTGAGCGAGTGGGTGAGTGAGTGAGCGAGTGACCGAGTGAGTGAGTGAGTGGGTGACTGAGTGAGTGAGCGAGTGAGTGAGAGTGAGTGAGCGAGTGAGCGAGTAAGTGACCGAGTGAGTGAGTGAGTGAGCGAGTGAGCGGGTGAGTGAGTGAGTGAGCGAGTGAGTAAGTGAGTGAGTGGGTGAGTGAGCGAGTGAGTGAGTGAGTGAGCGAGTGAGTGAGTGAGTGAGCGAGTGAGCGAGTGAGTAAGTGAGTGAGTGAGAGAGTGAGCGAGTGAGCGAGGGAGTGAGTGAGGAAGTGAGTGAGTGAGAGAGTGAGCGAGTGAGCGAGGAAGTGAGTGAGTGTGTGGGTGAGTGAGTGAGCGAGTGACCGAGTGAGTGAGCGAGGGAGTGAGTGAGTGAGTGAGCGAGTGAGTGAGTGAGCGAGTGAGTGAGTGAGTGAGCGAGGGAGTGAGTGAGTGAGTAAGTGAGCGAGTGAGTGAGTGAGCGAGTGAGTGAGCGAGTGAGCGAGTGAGTGAGTGAGTGAGCGAGTGAGTGAGTGAGCGAGTGAGTGAGTGAGTGAGCGAGTGAGTGAGTGAGTGAGCGAGGGAGTGAGTGAGTGAGTAAGTGAGTGAGTGAGCGAGTGAGTGAGTGAGTGAGCGAGCGAGTGAGTGAGCGAGTGAGTGAGTGAGTGAGCGAGTGAGTGAGTGAGTGAGCGAGTGACCGAGTGAGTGAGTGAGTGGGTGAGTGAGTAAGTGAGTGAGTGAGCGAGGGAGTGAGTGGGTGACTGAGTGAGTGAGCGAGTGAGTGAGTGAGTGAGCGAGTGAGCGAGTGAGCGAGGGAGTGAGTGGGTGACTGAGTGAGTGAGCGAGTGAGTGAGCGAGTGAGCGAGTGAGCGAGTGGGTGAGTGAGTGAGCGAGTGACCGAGTGAGTGAGTGAGTGGGTGACTGAGTGAGTGAGCGAGTGAGTGAGAGTGAGTGAGCGAGTGAGCGAGTAAGTGACCGAGTGAGTGAGTGACCGAGTGAGTGAGCGAGTGAGTGAGTGAGTGACCGAGTGAGTGAGCGAGGGCAACTCACTACGTAGAGGCCTCGTCATGCGATGCCATGAAGAGGATTGTGCCGTCTGTGACGCTCTCCAGGTACTGCACCACCTCGTCCGCACAGTCTGCACACGCACACGACGCGTTCACGGCGGCCGGGGACCTGGGTTCAACACCTGGGTCTGGGTGTCTCTGTCTGTCACTCTCAGGGGGGTTCACGATGGCCGGGAACCTGGGTTCAACACCTGGGTCTGGGTGTCTCTGTCTGTCACTCTCAGGGGGGTTCACGATGGCCGGGGACCTGGGTTCAACACCTGGGTCTGGGTGTCTCTGTCTGTCACTCTCAGGGGGGTTCACGATGGCCGGGGACCTGGGTTCAACACCTGGGTCTGGGTGTCTCTCTCTGTCACTCTCAGGAGGGTTCACGATGGCCGGGGACCTGGGTTCAACACCTGGGTCTGGGTGTCTCTGTCTGTCACTCTCAGGAGGGTTCACGATGGCCGGGAACCTGGGTTCAACACCTGGGTCTGGGTGTCTCTCTCTCAGGGGGGTTCACGGCGGCCGGGGACCTGGGTTCAACACCTGGGTCTGGGTGTCTCTCTCTGTCTCTGTCTCTCTCAGGGGGGTTCACGATGGCTGGGTCGCGTTCACGGCGGCCGGGAACATGGGTTCAACACCTGGGCTCAACACCTGGGTCTGGGTATCCCTCTCTCTGTCACTCTCAGGGGGGTTCACGATGCCTGGGTCGGGTTCACGATGGCCGGGAACCTGGGCCCAGAGAAAAATCCACGCAACCACGGGGAGAGAGAGATAGAGAGGCACCACAAACTCCACATATACAGCAGCAGCAGGTGTCGGGGTCGGGATCGAACCCACGACCTCCTGCGTACCAGGCGAGGTAGTTAACATCTCACCACCACGACGCCCATGGATTTGCATAGAGACCCATAGATTCACACGGACCACAGACACACACACAGAGCAACAGACTCGAGGGCTCGCACAGAGAGACCCACAGACAGCCACGGCCGCATAGTAACCCATGGGACTCGCACAGAGACACAACAACAACAACAACCGCCATTCGCCACTAAGTGGCGGTGACGTCACCACGGCGCTTGTGCCAGGCTATGTGCACGTTAAGGCCACGTGAAGTGTCGAACGCCCGCTGGCAGGAGGTCACGGGGCAGACCCCACAGGCACCCCTACACACGGACACCCACAGACCCACACAGATACCCACAGATACCCACAGACACCCACAGACAGACAGACCCACACAGACAGATACACAAAGATACCCACAGACACCCACACAGACACCCAAAGACACCCACAGACCCACACAGGCAGACACCCACAGACCCACACAGGCAGACACACACAGACACACACAGATACCCACAGACACCAACACACAGACAACCACAGATACACACAGACAGACATACACACAGACAGACAGACACACACAGACACACAGACCCGCCCAGACAGACACTCACAGATACCCACAAACTCACACAGATAGACACATACAGACATACTCACAGACACCCACAGACAGACACATAGCCACAGACACCCACACACAGACACCCACAGACCCACACAGACACCCACAGACCTACACAGACAGACACACACAGCCACCCACAGACCCACACAGGCAGACACACACAGACACACACAGATACCCACAGACACCAACACACAGACACCCACAGATACACGCAGACACAGAGAGACACACACACAGACACACAGACACACAGACCCGCCCAGACAGACACACACATACCCACAAACCCACACAGATAGACACATACAGACACATACCCACAGACACCCACAGACAGACACACAGACACCCACAGACACCCACAGACACCCACAGACAGACACACAGACACCCACAGATACCCAACAACAACAACAACAACAACCGCCATTCGCCACTAAGTGGCGGTGACGTCACCACGACGCTTGTGCCAGGCTATGTGCACCCTGAGGCCACGTGAAGTGTCGAACGCCCGCTGGCAGGAGGTCACGGGGCAGACCCAGGTGCCACGGGTCGACTGACTGAGATGACTGGCTGATGCACCACCTGTGCCCCCTACTGTGCCAACCTGCTGTGCTTTAGCCACCCGGCGCTCCGCTCGCTGTTGTGAGCGTCGCTCCTCCGCCCTCCGTTGTTGTTGGAGGGCGACTGCCTCCAACTGCCCAGTAGCATCCTTCACGAGCCTCCTCCACAGAGGCCGATCTTGACACCGCTGGTACCAGTCATCGGCAAGTCCACTCAGCTCCACGTCCTCCTGTACCACATCACTCCATCTCTTCTCTAGCCCGTGCCGCGCCCGCTTAGCCCCCTCAATCCGGCCAAACAAAAGCTGTTTCGGCATGCGGTGGCTGGGCATGCGGGCTACATGACCCAGCCATCGCAGCCTTGCCTGCCGGAGGAGCTCACCGATGGGACCCTGCCCAGATCTTTCAAGGATTTGTGAGCTCCTCACACAATCCAGTCTGGTTAAACCCAGGATGGATCGTAGGCAGGCCAGCCTAAATGTTTCTAACCGGCGAAGATGTTCCATTAGGGGGGTCCACGTTTCGCAAGCGTAGAGAAGGGAGGGAATGACCGTGGCCGAGAAGACCTGAAGCTTAGTGCGGAGCGACAGACCAGGTAGCTTCCACACAGCGTTACGCAACCGATGAAAAGATATTGCCGCTCGACTGATTCGGAGTGAGACCTCTGCGGTTAAACTGGTGCCAGTCATAAGCACACTGCCCAGGTATGGGAAACTCTCCACTCTCTCCACAACTGCCCCATCACCGATTGGGAGTTGTGGGGGTGGAGTGTCCGATGGTACAAAATACCCAGGCAGGTGCTTGGTTTTGGTGGGGCTGATGGTAAGGCCCCACCTCTTAGTGGCACGCTCCAGTCTCAGCAGCAGCGTCTCCAACTCCTCCTCTGACTGAGCAGCTATTACCAAGTCATCAGCATACATAACGTGGTTGAGCAATAGGGAGCCATCCCTTGACCGCACCCGGGCATCGATTAGCCTCCCATTATATCTGTACCATATGGAGATTCCCCCGGTACAGCTATTGAAGGCTTCACGAACTACGTGGTCAAAATAGATGTTAAATAATGTGGGAGCCAGAGGACATCCCTGTCGCACCCCAAGGTGTACAGGGAATGGCTCTGACTCCCGGCCACGTAGTTTTACCCGGGCCCGCTCACCATCATGAAGGTCCTTAATGATCGTGAGCAGAGGGTCAGGTACTCCAAAAGCACGAAGAACGACCCAGAGCCCAGGCCTACTGATGGTATCATAGGCCTTGACCAGGTCAATAAAGCAGAGATGTAGGTCTTGTTGGAATTCCCTACACCTCTGCTGTAGCAGACGGACAGAAAATATGGCATCTGTGCAGGACCGCCCTTTCCTGAAACCGCATTGGGGCTCCGCAAGCCTCTCCTCAGCGTGCCTGGCAAGGCGATGCTGAATAATCCTTGCCAGGACCTTTCCCGGCACACTGAGGAGTGAGATGCCCCTGTAGTTGTTACAGTCTGTGCGGTCCCCCTTCTTAAAAAGGGGGACCACCAGGGCATCCTTCCAATCCTGCGGAACCCGTCCAGTGGTCCAGACTGTTGTTATGATGTCATATAGGGCAGTCTGTGCACAAACGCCACCCTCCCTCAGCATTTCGCTTGGAAGATCATCTCTGCCCGCTGCCTTTCCTGGTCTCAGACTCCGGATCGCCTTCAATACTTCCTCAGCAGATGGCACCTCAGCCAGCCACTCACAGGGGGTGACTTCATCCAATATTTGAGGCACCGCAGCCTCAGCAGGGTCATCCTCACTTTGTGCCACGATGTTTTCCTGGCTGAGGGATTTTCCCTCCCCCAGGACCTCACAGAAATGCTCAGCAAATCTGCGAACCTGTTCCTGGGGGTCGGAAATTGGATCGCCGTTTTTTCCCCTAATGATGGTAATAGGTGTGGCGCTGCAGGTTACTTTTTTGATGGAGTTAAATAGAGATTTGTGATCACGGGCCACTGAGGCAGACTCCATCTCCTCAGCAACCCGCGACCACCACCCATCCTTGCAGCGCCTCACGGCTCTCCGAACCTCCGAGCGAAGGCTGCGGTAAGCCTCCTCATTCTCTGACGTGGGACTCTGTAGCCGATGACAGTGGGCCTGTCGCTTTTTCTCAACCATCGTGAACAACTCCTCTGTCATCCAGGGTGTCTGGGGAGGTCTGGACCGCGTACCCAAAGCAGCCATTGCAGCTGCATGAGTCACAGTCCTAAACCTCGCCCATTTACCCTCGACATCAGGAGGAGTCGGGGACGATGCCAATCCCAGCCGCAAGCGATGATGAAATTCTCGCTTGCAACTTTCATCAGATAACTGAGACCAGGCCACTTTAGGTTGGAATGGGGTCCTGGGTGTACACCCACCACCGGAGTGGAAGAATGGCAGGCGCATCTTACAGATGACTAGTCGATGGTCAGAGGGCAGATCAGCTCCACGGTAGGTCCTGGTGTCAAGGACATGGGCTCGTATTCGCTGGTCCGTCACTATGTAGTCCAGCAGATGTTCTTGCTTGGACCCGGCATGCATCCATGATGTTGTGTGGATGCGCCGATGCCGGAACAGCGTGTTGGTAATTACAAGCCCATGGGCTGCACAAAAATCTAGCAGCCTCCTACCGTTGTTATTGAGCTGATCTGGCCCATGCCCTCCAATCACTCCAGGCCAGGTGCCAGTATCATGACCAACTCGGGCATTGAAGTCACCCAACATGATGACTCTATCCCGAGGGGCCACTTTAGCCAGCACCTGTGACAGGAGGTCATAGAAGGCATCTGACTCATCGGCTTTGCCTGCATCCCTCCACGGATGTTCATCTTCGGTGGGGGCATAAGTAACCACGACCACCATTCCTCGCCTCCGGTTGATGGGAAGGCGAGCCCAAAGTAGCCTGGGGCTTACAGCTTCCCACACCTCACCGCCACGCTCCCACGCCCCCTTCATTCTTTTGTTCAAAAGAAGACCCACACCCTGTTGTTTGGCAGTCTGCTGCCCCGAGTAGAGAACTGTCCACCCCTCATGGTTGCAGGAGCCAGAGCCGGTCCACCGGACCTCCTGAATGCCGCATAGATCCAGGCGGTACCGGTCCAGCTCCCGACAGAGGAGTGGCAGCCTCTCCTCTGCAGTGAGCGTTCGAACATTCCACGTGGCCAACCGTAGTGGCTTTTCGTTGTTTCTGGAGTAGCCCCGAGGGTAGGTATTCAATCTCCTGGCTCCGCCAATTGGGGTTTGGCCAGGAGACGTCATAGACGCCTGGCCCCCCGGGGCCTCCGGCACAAGCTTAGTTGTTACATATTTAAGTTTAATTCGTAGTTTCGTGGTAATTAATTGAAGGTGGAGGGGTTACCAGCCCCTCGCACCCGTCCAGAGCCCCCGTTTAGCCCCTGTGGTGGACACATATGCCATGAGGGGAGGAGCCAATCAAAATTGGATCTCCCCCCACAGCGCTGTCCACGACAGAGTTGCCCGTCCGGCACCGCGAGGAGGTAGGGGGTTGTTTTGCCGATACCCACACACAGACACACAGACACACACAGATACCCACAGACACCCACACACAGACACCCACAGACACCCACACATACCCACAGACACCCACAGATACCCACAGATACCCACACACAGACACACACAGATACCCACAGATACCCACACACAGACACACACAGATACCCACAGACACCCACACACAGACACACACAGATCCACGGACTCACCATGCCCCCACATGTCGAACACGCGGCTGTCGGTGACCTCGCCCGTCACAGCTGAAACGAAACCACGTGACGATGACGTCGTCACCTCGTCATCCGCCTACAGCCTCCACCGCACCTCGACGAGGGTGAGTGGGTTGGTGAGTGGGTTGGTGAGTGGGTTGGTGAGTGTGTGAGTGGGTTGGTGAGTGTGCGAGTGGGTTGGTGAGTGGGTTGGTGAGTGTGTGAGTGGGTTGGTGAGCGGGTTGGTGAGTGTGCGAGTGGGTTGGTGAGTGGGTGGGTGGGTTGGTGAGTGTGCGAGTGGGTTGGTGAGTGGGTGGGTGGGTTGGTGAGTGTGCGAGTGGGTTGGTGAGTGTGTGAGTGGGTTGGTGAGTGGGTGGGTGGGTTGGTGAGTGTGCGAGTGGGTTGATGAGTGTGCGAGTGGGTTGATGGGTTGGTGAGTGTGCGAGTGGGTTGGTGAGTGTGTGAGTGGGTTGGTGAGTGTGTGAGTGGGTTGGTGAGTATGTGAGTGGGTTGGTGAGTGGGTTGGCGAGTGTGCGAGTGGGTTGGCGAGTGTCCGAGTGGGTTGGTGAGTGTGAGTGGGTTGGTGAGTGTGCGAGTGGGTTGGTGAGTGTGCGAGTGGGTTGGTGAGTGGGTTGGTGAGTGTGTGAGTGGGTTGGTGAGTGGGTTGGTGAGTGTGTGAGTGGGTTGGTGAGTGTGTGAGTGGGTTGGCGAGTGTGCGAGTGGGTTGGTGAGTGAGTGGGTTGGTGAGTGTGCGAGTGGGTTGGTGAGTGTGAGTGGGTTGGTGAGTGGGTTGGTGAGTGTGTTAGTGGGTTGGTGACTATGTGAGTGGTTTGGTGAGTGGGTGAGTGGGTTGGTGAGTGTGCGAGTGGGTTGGTGAGTGTGTGAGTGGGTTGGCGAGTGTGCGAGTGGGTTGGTGAGTGTGAGTGGGTTGGTGAGTGTGCGAGTGGGTTGGTGAGTGTGTGAGTGGGTTGGTGAGTGGGTTGGCGAGTGTGCGAGTGGGTTGGTGAGTGTGTGAGTGGGTTGGTGAGTGTGTGAGTGGGTTGGTGAGTGTGTGGGTTGGTGAGTGTGTGAGTGGGTTGGTGAGTGTGTGAGTGGGTTGGTGAGTGTGTGAATGGGTTGGTGAGTGTGTGAGTGGGTTGGTGAGTGTGTGAGTGGGTTGGTGAGTGTGTGAGTGGGTTGGTGAGTGGGTTGGCGAGTGTGCGAGTGGGTTGGTGAGTGTGAGTGGGTTGGTGAGTGTGTGAGTGGGTTGGTGAGTGTGTGAGTGGGTTGGTGAGTGTGTGAATGGGTTGGTGAGTGTGTGAGTGGGTTGGTGAGTGTGTGAGTGGGTTGGTGAGTGTGTGAGTGGGTTGGTGAATGGGTTGGCGAGTGTGCGAGTGGGTTGGTGAGTGTGTGAGTGGGTTGGTGAGTGTGTGAGTGGGTTGGTGAGTGTGTGGGTTGGTGAGTGTGTGAGTGGGGTTGGTGAGTGTGTGAGTGGGTTGGTGAGTGTGTGAATGGGTTGGTGAGTGTGTGAGTGGGTTGGTGAGTGTGTGAGTGGGTTGGTGAGTGTGTGAGTGGGTTGGTGAGTGGGTTGGCGAGTGTCCGAGTGGGTTGGTGAGTGTGAGCGGGTTGGTGAGTGTGCGAGTGGGTTGGTGAGTGTGCGAGTGGGTTGGTGAGTGGGTTGGTGAGTGTGTGAGTGGGTTGGTGAGTGGGTTGGTGAGTGTGTGAGTGGGTTGGTGAGTGGGTTGGTGAGTGTGTGAGTGGGTTGGCGAGTGTGCGAGTGGGTTGGTGAGTGAGTGGGTTGGTGAGTGTGCGAGTGGGTTGGTGAGTGTGAGTGGGTTGGTGAGTGGGTTGGTGAGTGTGTTAGTGGGTTGGTGACTATGTGAGTGGTTTGGTGAGTGGGTGAGTGGGTTGGTGAGTGTGCGAGTTGGTTGGTGAGTGTGTGAGTGGGTTGGCGAGTGTGCGAGTGGGTTGGTGAGTGTGAGTGGCTTGGTGAGTGTGCGAGTGGGTTGGTGAGTGTGTGAGTGGGTTGGTGAGTGGGTTGGCGAGTGTGCGAGTGGGTTGGTGAGTGTGTGAGTGGGTTGGTGAGTGTGTGAGTGGGTTGGTGAGTGTGTGGGTTGGTGAGTGTGTGAGTGGGTTGGTGAGTGTGTGAGTGGGTTGGTGAGTGTGTGAATGGGTTGGTGAGTGTGTGAGTGGGTTGGTGAGTGTGTGAGTGGGTTGGTGAGTGTGTGAGTGGGTTGGTGAGTGGGTTGGCGAGTGTGCGAGTGGGTTGGTGAGTGTGAGTGGGTTGGTGAGTGTGTGAGTGGGTTGGTGAGTGTGTGAGTGGGTTGGTGAGTGTGTGAATGGGTTGGTGAGTGTGTGAGTGGGTTGGTGAGTGTGTGAGTGGGTTGGTGAGTGTGTGAGTGGGTTGGTGAATGGGTTGGCGAGTGTGCGAGTGGGTTGGTGAGTGTGAGTGGGTTGGTGAGTGTGTTAGTGGGTTGGTGAGTGTGTTAGCGGGTTGGTGAGTGGGTTGGTGAGTGTGTGAGTGGGTTGGTGAGTGGGTTGGTGAGTGTGTGAGTGGGTTGGTGAGTGGGTTGGTGAGTGTGTGAGTGGGTTGGTGAGTGTGTGAGTGGGTTGGTGACTGTGTGAGTGGGTTGGTGAGTGTGAGTGGGTTGGTGAGTGTGCGAGTGGGTTGGTGAGTGTGCGAGTGGGTTGGTGAGTGGGTTGGTGAGTGTGTGAGTGGGTTGGTGAGTGGGTTGGTGAGTGTGTGAGTGGGTTGGTGAGTGGGTTAGTGAGTGTGTGAGTGTGTTGGTGAGTGGGTTGGTGACTGTGTGAGTGGGTTGGTGAGTGTGCGAGTGGGTTGGTGAGTGTGAGTGGGTTGGTGAGTGGGTTGGTGAGTGTGTTAGTGGGTTGGTGACTATGTGAGTGGGTTGGTGAGTGGGTGAGTGGGTTGGTGAGTGTGTGAGTGGGTTGGCGAGTGTGCGAGTGGGTTGGTGAGTGTGAGTGGGTTGGTGAGTGTGTGCGAGTGGGTTGGTGAGTGTGTGAGTGGGTTGGTGAGTGGGTTGGCGAGTGTGCGAGTGGGTTGGTGAGTGGGTTGGTGAGTGTGTGAGTGGGTTGGTGAGTGTGTGAGTGGGTTGGTGAGTGTGTGGGTTGGTGAGTGGGTGAGTGGGTTGGTGAGTGTGCGAGTGGGTTGGTGAGTGTGCGAGTGGGTTGGTGAGTGTGCGAGTGGGTTGGTGAGTGGTTTGGTGAGTGTGCGAGTGGGTTGGTGAGTGTGAGTGGGTTGGTGAGTGGGTTGGTGAGTGTGTTAGTGGGTTGGTGACTGTCTGAGTGGGTTTGTGAGTGGGTGAGTGGGTTGGTGAGTGTGCGAGTGGGTTGGTGAGTGTGCGAGTGGGTTGGTGAGTGGGTGGGTGGGTTGGTGAGTGTGCGAGTGGGTTGGTGAGTGTGTGAATGGGTTGGTGAGTGTGTGAGTGGGTTGGTGAGTGTGTGAGTGGGTTGGTGAGTGGGTTGGCGAGTGTGCGAGTGGGTTGGTGAGTGTGAGTGGGTTGGTGAATGGGTTGGTGAGTGTGTGAGTGGGTTGGTGAGTGTGTGAGTGGGTTGGTGAGTGGGTTGGTGAGTGTGTGAGTGGGTTGGTGAGTGTGTGAGTGGGTTGGTGAGTGTGTGAGTGGGTTAGTGAGTGGGTTGGTGACTGTGTGAGTGGGTTGGTGAGTGTGAGTGGGTTGGTGAGTGTGCGAGTGGGTTGGTGAGTGGGTTGGTGAGTGTGTGAGTGGGTTGGTGAGTGGGTTGGTGACTGTGTGAGTGGGTTGGTGAGTGAGTGGGTTGGTGAGTGTGCGAGTGGGTTGGTGAGTGTGAGTGGGTTGGTGAGTGTGCGAGTGGGTTGGTGAGTGAGTGGGTTGGTGAGTGTGCAAGTGGGTTGGTGAGTGTGTTAGTGGGTTGGTGAGTGGGTTGGTGAGTGTGTTAGTGGGTTGGTGACTATGTGAGTGGGTTGGTGAGTGTGTGAGTGGGTTGGTGAGGGGTTGGCGAGTGTGCGAGTGGGTTGGTGAGTGTGAGTGGGTTGGTGAGTGTGTGAGTGGGTTGGTGAGTGTGTGAGTGGGTTGGTGAGTGTGTGAATGGGTTGGTGAGTGTGTGAGTGGGTTGGTGAGTGTGTTAGTGGGTTGGTGAGTGGGTTGGTGAGTGTGTTAGTGGGTTGGTGACTATGTGAGTGGGTTGGTGAGTGTGTGAGTGGGTTGGTGAGTGTGTTAGTGGGTTGGTGAGTGGGTTGGTGAGTGGGTTGGTGAGTGGGTTGGTGAGTGTGTGAGTGGGTTGGTGAGTGTGTGAGTGGGTTGGTGAGTGTGTGAGTGGGTTGGTGAGTGGGTTGGTGAGTGTGTGAGTGGGTTGGTGACTGTGTGAGTGGGTTGGTGACTGTGTGAGTGGGTTGGTGAGTGTGCGAGTGGGTTGGTGAGTGTGCGAGTGGGTTGGTGAGTGTGCGAGTGGGTTGGTGAGTGGGTTGGTGAGTGTGTGAGTGGGTTGGTGAGTGGGTTGGTGAGTGTGTGAGTGGGTTGGTGAGTGGGTTGGTGAGTGTGTGAGTGGGTTGGTGAGTGGGTTGGTGACTGTGTGAGTGGGTTGGCGAGTGTGCGAGTGGGTTGGTGAGTGAGTGGGTTGGTGAGTGTGCGAGTGGGTTGGTGAGTGTGAGTGGGTTGGTGAGTGGGTTGGTGAGTGTGTTAGTGGGTTGGTGAGTGGGTGAGTGGGTTGGTGAGTGTGTGAGTGGGTTGATGAGTGTGCGAGTGGGTTGGTGAGTGTGTGAGTGGGTTGGTGAGTGGGTTGGCGAGTGTGCGAGTGGGTTGGTGAGTGGGTTGGTGAGTGTGTGAGTGGGTTGGTGAGTGTGTGAGTGGGTTGGTGAGTGTGTGGGTTGGTGAGTGGGTGAGTGGGTTGGTGAGTGTGCGAGTGGGTTGGTGAGTGTGCGAGTGGGTTGGTGAGTGTGCGAGTGGGTTGGTGAGTGGTTTGGTGAGTGTGCGAGTGGGTTAGTGAGTGTGAGTGGGTTGGTGAGTGTGTTAGTGGGTTGGTGAGTGTGCGAGTGGGTTGGTGAGTGTGCGAGTGGGTTGGTGAGTGGGTGGGTGGGTTGGTGAGTGTGCGAGTGGGTTGGTGAGTGTGTGAGTGGGTTGGTGAGTGGGTTGGTGAGTGGGTGGGTGGGTTGGTGAGTGTGCGAGTGGGTTGGTGAGTGGGTGGGTGGGTTGGTGAGTGTGCGAGTGGGTTGATGTGTGTGCGAGTGGGTTGGTGAGTGTGTGAATGGGTTGGTGAGTGTGTGAGTGGGTTGGTGAGTGTGTGAGTGGGTTGGTGAGTGGGTTGGCGAGTGTGCGAGTGGGTTGGTGAGTGTGAGTGGGTTGGTGAGTGGGTTGGTGAGTGTGTGAGTGGGTTGGTGAGTGTGTGAGTGGGTTGGTGAGTGGGTTGGTGAGTGTGTGAGTGGGTTGGTGAGTGTGTGAGTGGGTTGGTGAGTGTGTGAGTGGGTTGGTGAGTGGGTTGGTGACTGTGTGAGTGGGTTGGTGAGTGGGTTGGTGAGTGTGTGAGTGGGTTGGTGAGTTGGTTGGTGACTGTGTGAGTGGGTTGGTGAGTGAGTGGGTTGGTGAGTGTGCGAGTGGGTTGGTGAGTGTGAGTGGGTTGGTGAGTGTGCGAGTGGGTTGGTGAGTGAGTGGGTTGGTGAGTGTGCAAGTGGGTTGGTGAGTGTGAGTGGGTTGGTGAGTGGGTTGGTGAGTGTGTTAGTGGGTTGGTGACTATGTGAGTGGGTTGGTGAGTGGGTGAGTGGGTTGGTGAGTGTGAGTGGGTTGGTGAGTGGGTTGGTGAGTGTGTTAGTGGGTTGGTGACTATGTGAGTGGGTTGGTGAGTGTGTGAGTGGGTTGGCGAGTGTGCGAGTGGGTTGGTGAGTGTGAGTGGGTTGGTGAGTGTGCGAGTGGGTTGGTGAGTGTGTGAGTGGGTTGGTGAGTGGGTTGGCGAGTGTGCGAGTGGGTTGGTGAGTGGGTTGGTGAGTGTGTGAGTGGGTTGGTGAGTGTGTGAGTGGGTTTGTGAGTGAGTGGGTTGGTGAGTGTGTGAGTGGGTTGGTGAGTGTTCGAGTGGGTTGGTGAGTGTGCGAGTGGGTTGGTGAGTGTGCGAGTGGGTTGGTGAGTGGTTTGGTGAGTGTGCGAGTGGGTTGGTGAGTGGGTTGGTGAGTGTGAGTGGGTTGGTGAGTGTGAGTGGGTTGGTGAGTGGGTTGGTGAGTGTGTTAGTGAGTTGGTGACTGTGTGAGTGGGTTTGTGAGTGGGTGAGTGGGTTGGTGAGTGTGCGAGTGGGTTGGTGAGTGTGTGAGTGGGTTGGCGAGTGTGTGAGTGGGTTGGTGAGTGGGTTGGTGAGTGTGTGAGTGGGTTGGTGAGTGTGTGAGTGGGTTGGTGAGTTTGGTTGATGAGTGTGCGAGTGGGTTGGTGAGTGTGCGAGTGGGTTGGTGAGTGTGTTAGTGGGTTGGTGAGTGGGTTGGCGAGTGTGCGAGTGGGTTGGTGAGTGGGTTGGTGAGTGTGTGAGTGGGTTGGTGAGTGTGTGAGTGGGTTGGTGAGTGTGCGAGTGGGTAGGTGAGTGGGTTGGTGAGTGTGCGAGTGGGTTGGTGAGTGGTTTGGTGAGTGTGCGAGTGGGTTGGTGAGTGGGTTGGTGAGTGTGAGTGGGTTGGTGAGTGGGTTGGTGAGTGTGTTAGTGGGTTGGTGACTGTGTGAGTGGGTTTGTGAGTGGGTGAGTGGGTTGGTGAGTGTGCGAGTGGGTTGGTGAGTGTGTGAGTGGGTTGGCGAGTGAGTGAGTGGGTTGGTGAGTGGGTTGGTGAGTGGGTGAGCCGGTTGCTGAGTGGGTTAGTAAGTGGGTGAGTTGGTTGGTGAGCGGGTTAGTGAGTGGGTTGGTGAGTGAGTGGGTGAGCCGGTTGGTGAAAGGGTTAATGAGTGGGTGAGCCGGTTTGTGAGTGGGTTGGTAAGTCAGTGGTGAGTGTGAGTGGTGAGTGTGCGTGGTGAGTGAATGGTGAGTGTCAGTGAGTGTCTCTGTGTATGAGCAGTGAGTGAGTGGTGTGAGTCGTGAGTGAGTGGGTTGGTGAGTCAGTGGTGAGTGTGAGTGGTGAGTGTGCGTGGTGAGTGGTGAGTTAGTGGTGAGTGAGTGGTGAGTTAGTGGTGAGTGAGTGGTGAGTTAGTGGTAAGTGGTGAGTTAGTGGTGACTGTGAGTGGTGAGTGGTGAGTTAGTGGTGAGTTAGTGGTGAGTGTGAGGGGTGAGTGTTGAGTTAGTGGTGAGCGTTGAGTTAGTGGTGAGTTAGTGGTGAGTGGTGAGTTAGTGGTGAGTGGTGAGTTAGTGGTGTCTCTCACAGTTAATTCCCACGATGTTGATGCCTCTTCCAACGTTGTTCCGGTTCCGGCTCATTATCCTGCAGGGCAGTCACGTGACCAAACGCCACTATCACCATGGAGACGGAGGTGCGGTGGTGATGCCGGTGGTGGTGGTGATGGCTGGGTCGCGCAGCCACCGCATGCCCAGCCACCGCATGCCCAGCCACCGCATGCCCAAACAGCTTTTGTTCGGCCGGATAGAGGCCTATGATACCATCAGTAGGCCTGGGCTCTGGGTTGTTCTTCGTGCTTTCGGAGTCCCTGACCCTCTGCTCACGATCATTAAGGACCTTCATGATGGTGAGCGGGCCCGGGTAAAACTACGTGGCCGCGAGTCCGAGCCATTCCCTGTACACCTTGGGGTGCGACAGGGATGTCCTCTGGCTCCCACATTATTTAACATCTATTTTGACCACGTAGTTCATGAAGCCTTCAATAGCTGTACCGGGGGAATCTCCATATGGTACAGATATAATGGGAGGCTGATCGATGCCTGGGTGCGGGCAAGGGATGGCTCCCTATTGCTCAACCACGTTATGTATGCTGATGATTTGGTAATAGCTGCTCATTCAGAGGAGGAGTTGGAGACGCTGCTGCTGAGACTGGAGCGTGCCATTAAGAGATGGGGCCTTACCATCAGCCCCACCAAAACTAAGCACCTGCCTGGGTATTTTTTTACCATCAGACACTCCACCCCCACAACTCCCAATCGGTGATGGGGCAGTTGTGGAGAGAGTAGAGAGTTTCCCATACCTGGGCAGTGTGCTTATGACCGGCTCCAGTTTAACAGCAGTGGTCTCACTCCGAATCAGTCGAGCGGCAGTATCTTTTCATCGGTTGCGTAACGCTGTGTGGAAGCTACCTGGTCTGTCGCTCCGCACTAAGTTTCAGGTCTTCTCGGCCACGGTCATTCCCTCCCTTCTCTACGCTTGCGAAACGTGGACCCCCTTAATGGTGCATCTTCGCCGGTTGGAAACATTTAGGCTGGCCTGCCTACGATCCATCCTGGGTTTAACCAGGCTGGATTGTGTGAGGAGCTCACAAATCCTCGAAAGATCTGGGCAAGGTCCCATCGGTGAGCTCCTCCGGCAGGCAAGGCTGCGTTGGCTGGGCCATGTAGCCCGCATGCCCAGCCACCGAATACCGAAACAGCTTTTGTTCGCCCGGATCGAGGCAGCTAAACGGGCACGGCACGGGCTAGAGAAGAGATGGAGTGATGTGGTACAGGAGGACGTGGAGCTGAGTGGACTTGCCGATGAGCGGTACCAGCGGTGTCAAGATCTTTGTCTGTGGAGGAGGCTCGTGAAGGACGCTACTGGGCAGTTGGAGCCTGTGTGCTGTTTCTATATACAGAGGCGCTGCTGCTAGTCGCGAACAGCACTTGCCCCTACAGCCTGCTGGAGGCTACGTGGGGGACCTTTGTCTGTGCGGTGTGTATGTACATAGGTGCATCTCTTGCCCCTACAGCTTGCCGGAGGCTACGCGGGGGACCTTTGTTTGTGTGTTGTGTATGTACATAGGTGCATCTCTTGCCCCTACAGCTTGCCGGAGGCTACGCGGGGGACCTTTGTCTGTGCGGTGTGTATCTACATAGGTGCATCTCTTGCCCCTACAGCTTGCCGGAGGCTACGTGGGGGACCTTTGTTTGTGTGTTGTGTATGTACATAGGTGCATCTCTTGCCCCTACAGCTTGCCGGAGGCTACGCGGGGGACCTTTGTCTGTGCGTTGTGTATGTACATAGGTGCATCTCTTGCCCCTGCGACGTGCCGGAGGCTACCCGGGGGACCTTTGTCTGTGCGTTGTGTATCTACATAGGTGCATCTCTTGCCCCTACAGCTTTCCGGAGGCTACGCGGGGGACCTTTGTCTGTGTGTTGTGTATGTACATAGGTGCATCTCTTGCCCCTACAGCTTGCCGGAGGCTACGCGGGGGACCTTTGTCTGCGTGTTGTGTATGTACATAGGCGCATCTCTTGCCCTACAGCTTGCCGGAGGCTACGCGGGGGACCTTTGTCTGTGTGTTGTGTATGTACATAGGTGCATCTCTTGCCCCTACAGCTTGCCGGAGGCTACGCGGGGGACCTTTGTCTGTGCGTTGTGTATGTACATAGGTGCATCTCTTGCCCCTGCGACGTGCCGGAGGCTACGCGGGGGACCTTTGTCTGTGCGTTGTGTATGTACATAGGTGCATCTCTTGCCCCTGCGACGTGCCGGAGGCTACGCGGGGGACCTTTGTCTGTGTGTTGTGTATGTACATAGGCGCATCTCTTGCCCCTACAGCTTGCCGGAGGCTACGCGGGGGACCTTTGTCTGTGTGTTGTGTATGTACATAGGTGCATCTCTTGCCCCTACAGCTTGCCGGAGGCTACGCGGGGGACCTTTGTCTGTGCGTTGTGTATCTACATAGGTGCATCTCTTGCCCCTGAGACGTGCCGGAGGCTACGCGGGGGACCTTTGTCTGTGTGTTGTGTATCTACATAGGTGCATCTCTTGCCCCTACAGCTTGCCGGAGGCTACGCGGGGGACCTTTGTCTGTGCGGTGTGTATCTACATAGGTGCATCTCTTGCCCCTGCGACGTGCCGGAGGCTACGCGGGGGACCTTTGTCTGTGCGGTGTGTATCTACATAGGCGCATCTCTTGCCCCTACAGCACTTGCCGGAGGCTACGCGGGGGACCTTTGTCTGTGTGTTGTGTATGTACATAGGCGCATCTCTTGCCCCTACAGCTTGCCGGAGGCTACGCGGGGGACCTTTGCCTGTGCGGTGTGTATCTACATAGGTGCATCTCTTGCTCCTACAGCTCGCCAGAGGCTACGCGGGGGACCTTTGTCTGTGCGTTGTGTATGTACATAGGCGCATCTCTTGCCCCTGCGGCGTGCCGGAGGCTACGCGGGGGACCTTTGTCTGTGTGTGGCGTGAACTCACATGCGGTCGTCCAGGCAGACCCGGGGGTAGTGGTCGGTGCCGGCGCCGCTGAAGACGCTGAAGGCGAACTCGGAGCGACTGCACTGCGACATCAGCCCACATCGGTTGTGGCTCGGCCGGGGAGGGGCTGTGGGAACACCGCAGCGGCGGTGGTGGCGGTGGTGGTGGTGGTGGTGGTGATGGTGGTGGTGGAGGTGGTGGTTGTGGTGGTGGTGGTGGCGGTGGTGGCGGTGGTGGTGATGGGGGAGGTGGTGGTGGTTGTGGTGGTGGAGGTGGTGGTGGTTGTGGTGGTGGTGGTGTTGGTGGAGGTGGTGGTGGTGGTGGCGGCGGTGGTGGAGGTGGTGGTGGTGGTGGTGGTGAAGGTGGTGGTGGTGGTGGTGGTGGTGGCAGTGGTGGAGGTGGTGGTGGTGGTGGTGAAGGTGGTGGTGGTGGTGGTGAAGGTGGTGGTGGTGGCAGTGGTGATGATGGTGGAGGTGGTGATGATGGTGGAAGTGGTGGTGGTGGTGGTGGTGATGGTGGTGGTGGAGGTGGTGGTGGGGAGCGGTAGTGTAGTGGTAGCGCTACGCTGCGCTATGAACCCGGTGACCCAAGTTCAATTTCCCGCTCACGGCCAACACCACCAGTGACGATTCTCTTAACCGGTCCTGGGCCTCCCACAGGCCAAGCCACCCTCTATTGAGTACCTGGTGCCTTCATAGGTGCTCGCTAACAGCACTTGCCCTAACAGTCTGTTAAGGCTATACGGGGGATCTTTGTCTTTGGTGGTTGCGGTGGTGGTGATGACGATGGTGGTGGTGGTGATGGTGGTCGTGATGACGGTGGTATCAGTGGTGGTGGTGATGATGGTGGTGGCAGTGGTGATGATGGTGGTGGCGGTGGTGGTGGTGGTGGGGATGATGGTGGTGGTGATGATGGTGGTGGCGGTGGTGATGATGGTGGTGGTGATGATGGTGGTGGCGGTGGTGATGGTGGTGGTGGTGGCGGTGATGGTGGTGATGATGGTGGTGGCAGTGGTGATGATGGTGGTGGCGGTGATGATGGTGGTGGTGGTGGTGGTGATGGTGGTCGTGATGGGGATGATGATGGTGGTGGTGGTGATGGTGATGGTGGTGGCGGTGATGATGGTGGTGGTGGTGGTGATGGTGGTGGTGGGGATGATGATGGTGGTGGTAGTGGTGGTGGTAGCGATGGGGGTAATGATGGTGTCAGTGGTGGTGTCAGTGGTGGTGGTAGCGATGGGGGTAGTGATGGTGTCAGTGGTGGTGTCGGGTGGTGGTGGTGGTAGTGGTGGTGGTAGCGATGGGGGTAGTGATGGTGTCAGTGGTGGTGTCGGGTGGTGGTGGTGGTGGTGGTAGCGATGGGGGTAGTGATGGTGTCAGTGGTGGTGTCTGGTGGTGGTGGTGGTGGTAGCGATGGGGGTAGTGATGGTGTCAGTGGTGGTGTCTGGTGGTAGTGGTGGTGGTAGCGATGGGGGTAGTGATGGTGTCAGTGGTGGTGCTATCGGTGAGCGTGACGCTGGCGACTGCCATGTTGGTGAACCCAGCTGTGGATCGATCACGGCTGGTGATGGTGGCGGTGGCACTGGTGATGATGATGTTGGTGACGATGATGGTGACAGTGATGATGACGGTGATGATGAATGTGACGGTGACACTGGTGATGGTGATGATGGTGATGATGACGGTGATGATGATGGTGACGGTGACACTGCTGATGGTGATGATGGTGATGATGATGGTGACGGTGACACTGGTGATGATGATGTTGATGATGATGATGGTGACAGTGATGATGACGGTGATGATGATGGTGACGGTGACACTGGTGATGGTGATGATGATGATGATGGTGACAGTGATGATGACGGTGATGATGATGGTGACGGTGACACTGGTGATGGTGATGATGGTGACGATGATGGTGACAGTGATGATGACGGTGATGATGATGGTGACGGTGACACTGGTGATGGTGATGATGGTGATGACGATGGTGACAGTGATGATGACGGTGATGATGATGGTGACGGTGACACTGGTGATGGTGATGATGGTGATGATGATGGTGACAGTGATGATGACGGTGATGATGATGGTGACGGTGACACTGGTGATGGTGATGATGGTGATGATGATGGTGACAGTGATGATGACGGTGATGATGATGGTGACGGTGACACTGGTGATGGTGATGATGGTGATGACGATGGTGACAGTGATGATGACGGTGATGATGATGGTGACGGTGACACTGGTGATGGTGATGATGGTGATGATGATGGTGACAGTGATGATGACGGTGATGATGATGGTGACGGTGACACTGGTGATGGTGATGATGGTGATGATTATGGTGACAGTGATGATGACGGTGATGATGATGGTGACGGTGACACTGGTGATGATGATGTTGATGATGATGATGGTGACAGTGATGATGACGGTGATGATGATGGTGACGGTGACACTGGTGATGGTGATGATGATGATGATGGTGACAGTGATGATGACGGTGATGATGATGGTGACGGTGACACTGGTGATGGTGATGATGGTGACGATGATGGTGACAGTGATGATGACGGTGATGATGATGGTGACGGTGACACTGGTGATGGTGATGATGGTGATGACGATGGTGACAGTGATGATGACGGTGATGATGATGGTGACGGTGACACTGGTGATGGTGATGATGGTGATGATGATGGTGACAGTGATGATGACGGTGATGATGATGGTGACGGTGACACTGGTGATGGTGATGATGGTGATGATGATGGTGACAGTGATGATGACGGTGATGATGATGGTGACGGTGACACTGGTGATGGTGATGATGGTGATGACGATGGTGACAGTGATGATGACGGTGATGATGATGGTGACGGTGACACTGGTGATGGTGATGATGGTGATGATGATGGTGACAGTGATGATGACGGTGATGATGATGGTGACGGTGACACTGGTGATGGTGATGATGGTGATGATTATGGTGACAGTGATGATGACGGTGATGATGATGGTGACGGTGACACTGGTGATGATGATGTTGATGATGATGATGGTGACAGTGATGATGACGGTGATGATGATGGTGACGGTGACACTGGTGATGGTGATGATGATGATGATGGTGACAGTGATGATGACGGTGATGATGATGGTGACGGTGACACTGGTGATGGTGATGATGGTGACGATGATGGTGACAGTGATGATGACGGTGATGATGATGGTGACGGTGACACTGGTGATGGTGATGATGGTGATGACGATGGTGACAGTGATGATGACGGTGATGATGATGGTGACGGTGACACTGGTGATGGTGATGATGGTGATGATGATGGTGACAGTGATGATGACGGTGATGATGATGGTGACGGTGACACTGGTGATGGTGATGATGGTGATGATGATGGTGACAGTGATGATGACGGTGATGATGATGGTGACGGTGACACTGGTGATGGTGATGATGGTGATGACGATGGTGACAGTGATGATGACGGTGATGATGATGGTGACGGTGACACTGGTGATGGTGATGATGGTGATGATGATGGTGACAGTGATGATGACGGTGATGATGATGGTGACGGTGACACTGGTGATGGTGATGATGGTGATGATTATGGTGACAGTGATGATGACGGTGATGATGATGGTGACGGTGACACTGGTGATGGTGATGATGGTGATGACGATGGTGACAGTGATGATGACGGTGATGATGATGGTGACGGTGACACTGGTGATGGTGATGATGGTGATGATGATGGTGACAGTGATGATGACGGTGATGATGATGGTGACGGTGACACTGGTGATGGTGATGATGGTGATGATTATGGTGACAGTGATGATGACGGTGATGATGATGGTGACGGTGACACTGGTGATGGTGATGATGGTGATGATGATGGTGACAGTGATGATGACGGTGATGATGATGGTGATGGTGACACTGGTGATGGTGATGATGGTGATGATGATGATGGTGATGGTGACAGTGATGATGACGGTGATGATGATGGTGACGGTGACACTGGTGATGGTGATGATGGTGATGATGATGGTGACAGTGATGATGACGGTGATGATGATGGTGACGGTGACACTGGTGATGGTGATGATGGTGATGATGATGGTGACAGTGATGATGACGGTGATGATGATGATGGTGACGGTGACACTGGTGATGGTGATGATGGTGATGATGATGGTGACAGTGATGATGATGGTGACAGTGATGATGACGGTGATGATGATGGTGACGGTGACACTGGTGATGGTGATGATGATGATGGTGACAGTGATGATGATGGTGATGATGATGGTGACGGTGACACTGGTGATGGTGATGATGGTGATGATGGTGACAGTGATGATGACGGTGATGATGATGGTGACGGTGACACTGGTGATGATGGTGATGATGATGGTGACGGTGATGATGACGGTGATGATGATGGTGACGGTGACACTGGTGATGGTGATGATGGTGATGATGATGGTGACAGTGATGATGACGGTGATGATGATGGTGAAGGTGACACTGGTGATGGTGATGATGATGGTGATGATGATGGTGACAGTGATGATGACGGTGATGATGATGGTGACGGTGACACTGGTGATGATGATGATGGTGGCACTGGTGATGGTGATGGTGACGGTGACACTGGTGATGATGGTGATGATGATGGTGATGGTGACGGTGATGGTGATGATGATGGTGACACTGGTGATGGTGATAGTGACGGTGACACTGGTGATGGTGATGATGATGGTGATGGTGACACTGGTGATGGTGATGATGATGGTAATGATGATGGTGATGGTGATGATGATGGTGACACTGGTGATGGTGATAGTGACGGTGACACTGGTGATGGTGATGATGATGATGGTGATGGTGACACTGGTGATGGTGATGATGATGGTAATGATGATGGTGATGGTGATGATGATGGTGACACTGGTGATGGTGATAGTGACGGTGACACTGGTGATGGTAATGATGATGGTGACGGTGACACTGGTGATGGTGACACTGGTGATGGTGATAGTGACGGTGACACTGGTGATGGTGATGGTGACACTGGTGATGGTGATGATGATGGTGATGATGATGGTGATGGTGGCACTGGTGATGATGATGGTGATGATGATGGTGATGATGATGATGATGGTGACACTTGTGATGGTGATGATGGTGATGATGACACTTGTGATGGTGATGATGGTGATGATGACGGTGATGATGATGATGATGGTGATGATGACGGTGATGATGATGATGGTGATGATGACGGTGATTATGATGGTGACACTGGTGATGGTGATGATGATGGTGACGGTGGCACTGGTGATGGTGGCACTGGTGATGGTGATGATGATGGTGGCACTGGTGATGGTGATGATGGTGATGGTGACACTGGTGATGATGACGATGGTGACGGTGGCGATGATGGTGACACTGGTAATGGTGGTGATGGTGATGATGGCGGTGTTGGTGATACTGGTGATGATGATGGTAACGGTGACACTGGTGATGGTGATGATGATGGTGATACTGGTGATGGTGATGATGACGGTGATGATGATGATGGTGACGGTGACACTGGTGATGGTGATGATGGTGATGATTATGGTGACAGTGATGATGACGGTGATGATGATGGTGACGGTGACACTGGTGATGGTGATGATGGTGATGATGGTGATTCACCTCTCAGTTGCCCCGAGTATCGCATCTCACCTGCACAGGGGTCACACACAGCCTGGGGTCAGTCACGGGCAGAGGGTCTGGGGTAGGGGTTAGGGGTAGTGTTAGTGGTTCAGGGTAGGGGTTTTGGGTTGGGGCTAGGGGTTAGCGTTAGGGGTTATGGTGATGGTGATGATGGTGATGATGATGGTGACGGTGGCACTGATGATGGTGATGATGATGGTGGCAGTGGTGATCTTGATGATGATGGTGGCACTGGTGATGGTGATGATGATGATGGCAGTGGTGATGGTGATGATGATGGTGATGATGGCACTGGTGATGGTGATGATGATGGTGATGATGGTGGTGACGGTGGTGATGGTGATGATGATGGTGGCACTGGTGATGGTGATGATGATGGTGGCAGTGGTGATGGTGATGATGATGGTGGCAGTGGTGATGGTGATGATGATGATGGTACTGGTGATGATGGTGATGATGATGGTACTGGTGATGATGATGGTGACGGTGACACTGGTGATGGTGATGATGATGGTGACAGTGATGATGACGGTGATGATGATGGTGATGATGATGATGATGGTGACGGTGACACTGGTGATGGTGATGATGATGGTGATGGTGACGGTGACACTGGTGATGGTGATGATGATGATGGTGGCACTGGTGATGGTGATGATGATGCTGATGATGATTGTGACACTGGTGATGGTGATGATGACGGTGATGATGATGGTGACACTGGTGATGATGGTGATGATGGTGACGGTGGCGATGATGGTGATGATGGTGATTCACCTCTCAGTTGCGCCAAGTATCGCATCTCACCTGCACAGGGGTCACACACAGCCTGGGGTCAGTCACGGGCAGAGGGTCTGGGGTAGGGGTTAGGGGTAGTGTTAGTGGTTCAGGCTAGTTGTTTTGGGTTAGGGGTTCTGTGTTCGGGGTATGGTTAGAGGTTCAGGGTAAGGGTTACGAGTAGGGTGAGCGTTAGGGGTTAGCGCTAGGGGTTAGCGCTAGGGGTTAGCGCTAGGGGTTAGCGTTAGGGGTTAGTCTAGGGGGTAGCGCTAGGGGTTAGCGCTAGGGGTTAGCGCTAGGGGTTAGCGCTAGGGGCTAGCGCTAGGGGTTAGCGCTAGGGGTTAGCGCTACGGATTAGCGCTAGGGGTTATTGCTAGGTGTTAGCGCTAGGGGTTAGCGCGAGGGGTTAGCGCTAGGGGTTAGCGATAGGGGTTAGCACTAGGGGTTAGCGATAGGGGTTAGTACTAGGTGTTAGCACTCGGGGTTAGCGCGAGGGATTAGCACTAGGGGTTAGAGCTAGGGGTTAGCGCTAGGGGGTAGCGCTAGGGGTTAGCGCTAGGGGTTAGCGCTAGGGGTTAGCGCTAGGGGTTAGCGCTAGGGATTAGCGCTAGGGGTTAGCGCTAGGGGTTAGCGCGAGGGGTTAGCGCTAGGGGTTAGCGCTAGGGGTTAGTACTAGGGATTAGCGCTAGGGGTTAGCGCGAGGGATTAGCACTAGGGGTTAGAGCTAGGGGTTAGCGCTAGGGGGTAGCGCTAGGGGTTAGCGCTAGGGGTTAGCGCTAGGGGTTAGCGCTAGGGGTTAGCGCTAGGGGTTAGCGCGAGGGGTTAGCGCTAGGGGTTAGCGCTAGGGGTTAGTACTAGGGATTAGCGCTAGGGGTTAGCGCGAGGGATTAGCACTAGGGGTTAGAGCTAGGGGTTAGCGCTAGGGGGTAGCGCTAGGGGTTAGCGCTAGGGGTTAGCGCTAGGGGTTAGCGCTAGGGGTTAGCGCTAGGGGTTAGCGCGAGGGGTTAGCGCTAGGGGTTAGCGCTAGGGGTTAGTACTAGGGATTAGCGCTAGGGGTTAGCGCGAGGGATTAGCACTAGGGGTTAGAGCTAGGGGTTAGCGCTAGGGGGTAGCGCTAGGGGTTAGCGCTAGGGGTTAGCACTAGGGGTTAGCGCTAGGGGTTAGCGTGAGGGGTTAGCGCTAGGGGTTAGTACTAGGGGTTAGCACTAGGGGGTAGCGCTAGGGGTTAGCGCTAGGGGTTAGCGCTAGGGGTTAGCACTAGGGGTTAGCACTAGGGGTTAGCGCTAGGGGTTAGCGCTAGGGGTTAGCGCTAGGGGTTAGCGCTAGGGGTTAGCGCTAGGGGTTAGCGCTAGGGGTTAGCGCTAGGGGTTAGTACTAGGGATTAGCGCTAGGGGTTAGCGCGAGGGATTAGCACTAGGGGTTAGAGCTAGGGGTTAGCGCTAGGGGGTAGCGCTAGGGGTTAGCGCTAGGGGTTAGCGCTAGGGGTTAGCGCTAGGGGTTAGCGCTAGGGGTTAGCGCTAGGGGTTAGCGTGAGGGGTTAGCGCTAGGGGTAGCGCTAGGGGTTAGCGCTAGGGATTAGCGCTAGGGGTTAGCGCGAGGGATTAGCACTAGGGGTTAGCGTGAGGGGTTAGCGCTAGGGGCTGGCGCTAGGGGTTAGCGCTAGGGGCTGGCGCTAGGGGTTAGCGCGAGGGATTAGCACTAGGGGTTAGCGCTAGGGGTTAGCGCTAGGGGCTGGCGCTAGGGGTTAGCGCTAGGGGCTGGCGCTAGGGGTTAGCGCTAGGGGCTGGCGCTAGGGGCTAGCGCTAGGGGTGTCTGGGTTCTGGGTTTGGAGTCCCGGCTAGGGGATTGGGGGGCTGGCCCCCTACCGTGCTCGCTGGCGTTGGCCAGCATGTGAGCCAGCGTGGCTCCCAGGAGCCAGGCAAGGGAGCAGCAGCAAACCACCAGCGCCACGCGGCACGCGGCACCCACACACGTGCCTAGAGTACACGCAGAATACACACAGATTACACACAGAATACACACAGAATACACACAGATTACACACAGACTACACACAGAATACACACAGAATACACACAGACTACACACAGAATACACACAGAATACACACAGAATACACACAGATTACACAGACTACACACACGTGCCTAGAGTACACACAGATTACACACAGAATACACACAGATTACACACAGATTACACACAGAATACACACAGATTACACACAGATTACACACAGATTACACACAGAATACACACACGTGCCTAGAGTACACGCAGAATACACACAGAGATTACACACAGATTACACACAGACTACACACAGAGTACACGCAGAATACACACAGATTACACGCAGATTACACACAGAATACACACACGTGCCTAGAGTACACGCAGAATACACACAGATTACACACAGATTACACACAGATTACACACAGAATACACACAGATTACACACAGAATACACACAGAATACACACAGATTACACACAGATTACACACAGACTACACACAGACTACACACAGACTACACACAGACTACGCACACACATACCTAGACTACACACAGACTACACACAGAATACACACAGATTACACGCAGAATACACACGAACTACACACCGACTACACACAGACTACACACCGACTACACACAGACTACGCACACACATACCTAGACTACACACAGACTACACACAGACTACACAGACGTGTCTAGAGTACACGCAGAATACACACAGATTACACACAGATTACACACAGACTACACACACACATACCTAGACTACACACAGACTACACGCATATTACACACAGACTACACACAGAATACACACAGACTACACAACTTCACACACATTTCACACAAACACACCTTCACACACAATTTCACACACACACACACACCTTCACACAGACACACGCACTTTTACACACACACACGCATTTTCACACACACAACAACAACAACCGCCATTCGCCACTAAGTGGTGGTGACGTCACCACGACGCTTGTGCCAGGCCATGTGCACCTTGAGGCCACGTGAAGTGTCGAACGCCCGCGGGCAGGAGGTCACGGGCAGACCCAGGTGCCACGGGTCGACTGACTGAGATGACTGGCTAGTGCACCACCTGTGCCCCCTACTGTGCCAACCTGCTGTGCTTTAGTCACCCGGTGCTCCGCTCGTTGTTTTGAGCGTCGCTCCTCCGCCCTCCGTTGTTGATGGAGGGCGACTGCCTCCAACTGCCTAGTAGCGTCCTTCACGAGCCTCCTCCACAGAGGCCGATCTTGACACCGCTGGTACCAGTCATCGGCAAGTCCACTCAGCTCCACGTCCTCCTGTACCACATCACTCCATCTCTTCTCTAGCCCGCGCCGCGCCCGTTTAGCCCCCTCAATCCGGCCGAACAAAAGCTGTTTCGGCATGCGGTGGCTGGGCATGCGGGCTACATGACCCAGCCAACGCAGCCTTGCCTGCCGGCAGAGCTCACCGATGGGACCTTGCCCAGATCTTTCAAGGATTTGTGAGCTCCTCACACAATCCAGCCTGGTTAAACCCAGGATGGATTGTAGGCAAGCTAGCCTAAATGTTTCTAACTGGCGAAGATGTTCCATTAGGGGGGTCCACGTTTCGCAAGCGTAGAGAAGGGAGGGAATGACCATGGCCCAGAATACCTGAAGCTTAGTGCGGAGCGACAGACCAGGTAGCTTCCACACAGCGTTACGCAACCAATGAAAAGATATTGCCGCTCGACTGCTTCAGAGTGAGACCTATGTTGTTAAACTGGAGCCGGTCATAAGCACACTGCCCAGGTATGGGAAACTCTCCACTCTCTCCACAACTGCCCCATCACCGATTGGGAGTTGTGGGGGTGGAGTGTCCGATGGTACAAAATACCCAGGCAGGCAGGTGCTTAGTTTTGGTGGGGCTGATGGTAAGGCCCCACCTCTTAGTGGCACGCTCCAGTCTCAGCAGCAGCGTCTCCAACTCCTCCTCTGACTGAGCAGCTATTACCAAATCATCAGCATACATAACGTGGTTGAGCAATAGGGAGCCATCCCTTGACCGCACCGGGCATCGATCAGACTTCCATTATATCTGTACCATATGGAGATTCCCCCGGTATAGCTATTGAATGATTCACGAACTACGTGGTCAAAATAGATGTTAAATAATGTGGGAGCCAGAGGACATCCCTGTCGCACCCCAAGGTGTACAGGGAATGGCTTTGACTCCCGGCCACGTAGTTTTACCCGGGCCCGCTCACCATCATGAAGGTCCTTAATGATCGTGAGCAGAGGGTCAGGTACTCCAAAAGCACGAAGAACAACCCAGAGCCCAGGCCTAATGATGGTATCAGAGGCCTTGACCAGGTCAATAAAGCAGAGATGTAGGTCTTGCTGGAATTCCACCTCTGCTGTAGCAGACGGACAGAAAATATGGCGTCTATGCAGAACCGCCCTTTCCTGAAACCGCATTGGGGCTCCGCAAGCCTCTCCTCAGCGTGCCTGGCAAGGCGATGTTGAATAGTCCTTGCCAGGACCTTTCCCGGCACACTGAGGAGTGAGATGCCCCTGTAGTTGTTACAGTTAGTGCAGTCCCCCTTCTTAAAGAGGGGGACCACCAGGGCATCCTTCCAATCCTGCGGAACCCGTCCAGTGGTCCAGACTGTTGTTATGATGTCATATAGGGCAGTCTGTGCACAAACGCCACCCTCCCTCAGCATTTCGCTTGGGAGATCATCTCTGCCCGCTGCCTTTCCTGGTCTCAGATTCCGGATCGCCTTCAGTACTTCCTCAACAGATGGCACTTCAGCCAGCCACTCACAGGGGGTGACTTCTTCCAATATTTGAGGCACATCAGCCTCAGCAGGGTCATCCTCACTTTGTGCCACGATGTTTTCCTGGCTGAGGGATTTTCCCTCCCCCAGGACCTCACAGAAATGCTCAGCAAATCTGCAAACCTGTTCCTGGGGGTCGGAGATTGGATCACCGTTTTTTCCCCTAATGATGGTTAATAGGTGTGGCGCTGCAGGTTACCTTTTTGATGGTGTTAAATAGAGATTTGTGATCGCGGGCCACTGAAGCAGACTCCATCTCCTCAGCAACCCGCAACCACCACCCATCCTTTCAGCGCCTCACGGCTCTACGAACCTCCGAGCGAAGGCTGCGGTAAGCCTCCTCATTCTCTGACGTGGGATTCTGTAGCCGATGACAGTGGGCCTGTCGCTTTTTCTCAACTATCCTGAACACCTCCTCTGTCAACCAGGGTCTCTGGGGAGGTCTGGACCGCGTACCTAAAGCAGCCAATGCAGCTGCATGAGTGACAGTCCTAAACCTCGCCCATTTACCCTCGACATCAGGAGGAGTGGGGAACGATGCCAACCCCAGCCGCAGGCGATGATTAAATTCTCGCTTGCAACTTTCATCAGATAACTGAGACCAGGCCACTTTAGGTTGGAATGGGGTCCTGGGTGTACACCCACCACCGGAGCGGAAGAATGGCAGGCGCATCTTACAGATGACAAGTCTATGGTCAGAGGGCAGATCAGCTCCACGGTAGGTCTTGATGTCAAGGAGATGGGCTCACATCCGCTGGTCCGTCACTATGTAGTCCAGCAGATGTGCTTGCTTGGACCCAGCATGCATCCATGATGTTGTGTGGATGCGCCGATGCCGGAACAGCGTGTTGGTAATTACAAGCCCATGGACTGCTCAAAAATCTAGCAGCCTCCTACCGTTGTTATTGAGCTGATCTGGCCCATGCCCTCCCATCACTCCAGACCAGGTGCCAGCATCATGACCAACCCGGGCATTGAAGTCACCCAACTAGATGACTCTATCCGGAGGGGCCACTTTAGCCAGCACCTGTGACAGGAGGTCATAGAAGGCATCTGACTCATCGGCTTTGCCTGCATCCCTCCACGGATGTTCGTCTTCGGTGGGGGCATAAGTAACCACGACCACCACTTCCCGATTGATGGGAAGGCGAGCCCAAAGTAGCCTGGGGCTTACAGCTTCCCACACCTCACCGCCACGCTCCCACGCCCCCTTCATTCTTTTGTTCAAAAGAAGAGCCACACCCTGTTGTTTGGCAGTCTGCTTCACACACACACACTTTTAAACACGCAAAAAAGACAAACATAAAGATCCCCCGTGTAGCCTTGACAGACTGTAGGGGCAAGTGCTGTTAGCGAGTAGCACCTATGAAGGCCGGCACGGTGGCACACGAGGGGGTGGGTGGCCAGCACCACGCCGGGCCGCCTTTGTCTCCCCCAGTGGCGATGTTTACTACACACAGCTACACCAGATACTAATTTGAGGCTGAGTCGACCTAGGGGAGGCCCAGGACCGGTTCAGATAATCACCGATGTTGACCGTGAGCGGATCGCCAGGTTCGTAGCGCAGCGCGCTAACCGCTACACCACCGCTCCCCCCCCACACACACACATCTTCACACACATTTTCACACACACACACACTTTTACACACACACATGCACGCGCAAACACTCACTCCCAGCGCGAGGTCGACTCACTGCACCTCGCGGAGGATCACTCCGCTGAACAACAACAACAAACAACAACAAAATAGTTCCGCGGCTCCATTTGGCAGGTGTGCGAGTTCACGCTTTGAGTCGATGTTTAAAATAAATAAAATATATCGCTCATCGAAGATGGTTTCCCATGAGCGCGGGCGTTCGTAAGTCGGGTGTTCGTAAGTCGGGTGTTCGTAAGTCGAGGTGTTCGTAAGTCGAGGACACACAAAGGTACAGTGTAAAGTGCTGTACACACAGAGTTGCACGTTTACCCATCGCTGCTCACCTTTTGTCAGGAGAGACATCGCTAAAAATAAATAAATAAAAATCCTCAGCCGGGCCGACCAGTTCCACTTTGTCCCTGTACACAAACAACAACAACATCCGTCACTTCAGCCGGGCTAGGCAATGAGAGGGGTAACGATTTGGTAGAAGTAATGGTTTTTACCCTTTTAGCTGGCACAAAAACTGACACCTTTATTCAAGGGGATCATGTTTGCAATAACCACAACACAAGCAGTCAAAATGTAAACAAAAAAGACAACTCTAATAATGATATTGGCACTGTCCTTGAATTTGATTGGTCCACACCCGAGACGGCTTTTCTTAGAGCCCTTTAGTCTCCACTGGTGTTGGACCAGATGACGCCATAAGGCGTACAACTCAAAAACAGCACACTATCAGAGTATTGAGGGCACGGGTGAGCATTTACATTATGAGACCTCCTTTGCCAGTAACAAGATATAGGAATAGGTTTTACCCTTTCAACTGGAAAAAAAACCTACACCTTTATTCAAGGGGATCATGTTTGCAATAACCACAACACAAGCAGTCAAAAATGCAAACAAAAGAGACAACTCTGATAACAATATTGGCACTGTCCTTGAATTTGATTGGTCCACACCCGAGACGGCTTTTCTTAGAGCCCTTTAGTCTCCACTGGTGTTGGACCAGAAGACGCCAAAAGGCGTACAACTCAAAAACAACGCACCATCAGAGTATTGTTAGCTCGGGGTGAGCATTTACATTATGAGACCTCCTTTGCCAGTAACAAGATATAGTAATGTTTTTACCCTTTTAGCTGGCACAAAAACAGACACCTTTATACAAGGGATCATGTTTGCAATGTATAAAGGTGTCAGTTGCCAGCTAAAAGGGTAAAAACCATTACTATATCTTGTTACTGGCAAAGGAGGTCTCATAATGATCTGGTAGAATTTGTGTCGTCGGTCCACCCACCACATGGCACGGCCGCCAAATGCAATACTCACGTGGTGAGAGACCGTTAAACGACTCGACCACCCACTCACTCACCCACCCACTCACTCACTCACCCACCCACCCACTCACCCACCCACCCACTCACCCACCCACTCACCCACTCACCCACCCACTCACTCACCCACCCACTCACTCATTCACCCACCCGCTCACCCACCCACTTGCTCACTCACCCACCCACTCACTCACTCACTCACCCACCCACTCACCCACCCACCCACTCACCCACTCACCCACCCACTCACCCACTCACTCATTCACCCACCCACTCACTCACCCACCCACTCACTCACTCACCCACCCGCTCACCCACCCACTTGCTCACTCACCCTCCCACTCACTCACCCACCCGCTCACCCACCCACTCGCTCACCCACTCACTTGCCCATCCACTCACTCGCCCACCCGCTCACTCACCCACCCCCTCACCCACCCGCTCGCTCACCCACCCGCTCACTCACCCACCCGCTCACCCACCCACTCGCCCACCCACTCACTCGCCCATCCACTCACTCGCCCACCCACTCACTCGCCCACTCACTCACCCACCCACTCACCCACCCACTCACTCGCCCACCCACTTGCTCACCCACTCATTTACTCACTTACCCACCCACTCACCCACCCACTCACCCACCCACTCACTCACCCACCCACTCCCCCACCCACCCACTCGCCCACCCACTCACTCGCTCGCCCACTCACTTGCTCACTCACCCACCCACTCACTTGCTCACCCACTCATTTACTCACTCACCCACTCACCCACCCACCCACTCACTCACCCACCCACCCACTCACTTGCCCACCCACTTACTCACTCACCCACCCACCTCACTCACCCACTCATTCACCCACCTACCGACCCACTCGCTCGCTCACCCACTAACACACCCACCCACCAACCCACCCACTCACTTGCCCACCCACTCATTTACTCACTCACCCACTCACCCACCTAACTCACCTCACTCACCTCACTCACCCACCCACCTATGGACCCACTCACTCACCCACTCAGTTTGTCACTGACCCAATAAGTTTCTCACTCACTCACTCTCTCACCCACTCGCTCAAAGATCCCCCCCCATAGCCTCCACAAACATGTTGGGGCGAGTGCTGTCAGCGAGTAGCAGCACCTATGAAGGCCAGCATCACGCCTAAGCCGCCTTTGTCTCCCCAGTGGCGATGGTTACACATCACACCAGGTACACATCTGAGGCTGAGTCGACCCTGGGGGAAGGGGGGTGGGGTGGGGGGTGCCCAACCCCGGTTGCAGTGAACGGGAATCGAACTCGGCTCAACGAGTTTGTAACACAAGCGCGCCAACCACTGCACCGCCGCTCCCCACAGAGACGAAGATTCCCCCGTGAAGCCTCAACAGTTTGGGGGGGGGGGGGGGGGCACGTGCTGTCAGTACGCGCTGCCACCTGCGGTCAGGATTGGCAGGGGAGGCAGAGCCTCAGCTGACAAACTACCCAGTGAAAATAGCTGCTACGAAAAGTAATGGGGGAAAAAGAAATAATATAATGAAGTTGATATTAAGATTTTTTTCCCACTGATGTGTGTTATAAATGTCATTGCTGTACGATTCCAATCGTTTTTTTTTTAATAGTCAAAATCGCCAAATTTGCGGAGCTCCGCTGAGAATACCGGGAGAGACGAGAGGTGAGGCAGAGACGAGCTCAGCCTCCCCTGTGATTGCGCAACTCCTCAGTAACTGGATGGAGCGCGGGCAATAAGCCTTTTAATATCTCAGTATGTCACCAATGTAATGTTTGTAGACCCCTTCATTTCATGTCCTCGCCTTCCATACTCCGGGTTACTTATTTCACGTACGTGCATAAATATATTTAGGATCGCTGGTCTCGTCATGAAACTGCAATGAAAAAGCACCAGGGGAGGCAGCTATCACATCTGCCTCACCTAGGGGGACGTGTCTAAGACGCCCAACTTAGTGAGGACACGCCCCCTCAGGGAGGCCACGCCCCCATCCGTGAGGCCACGCCCCCCTCAGTGTGAATCTGGCTCTGACACTCGCCAGTGCCTCCCACAGCCATCGACCTCACCGCACGTCACAGTCGGTGACCACGTTCACCTCACGTCACGGTGACCACGTTCACCTGACGTCACAGTGACCACGTTCACCTGACGTCACAGTCGGTGACCACGTTCACCTGACGTCACAGTGACCACGTTCACCTCACGTCACAGTCAGTGACCACGTTCACCTCACGTCATAGTGACCACGTTCACCTGACGTCACAGTTGGTGACCACGTTCACCTGACGTCACAGTGACCACGTTCACCTGACGTCACAGTGACCACGTTCATCTGACGTCACAGTGACCACGTTCACCTCACGTCACAGTGACCACGTTCACCTGACGTCACAGTGACCACGTTCACCTGACGTCACAGTGACCACGTTCACCTGACGTCACAGTGACCACGTTCACCTGATGTCACAGTGACCACGTTCACCTCACGTCACAGTGACCACGTTCACCTCACGTCACAGTCAGTGACCACGTTCACCTCACGTCAAAGTGACCATGTTCACCTGACGTCACAACCAGTGACCACGTTCACCTGACATCACAGTCGGTGACCACGTTCACCTGACGTCACAGTGACCACGTTCACCTCACGTCACAGTGACCACGTTCACCTGACGTCACAGTCGGTGACCACGTTCACCTGACGTCACAGTGACCACGTTCACCTCACGTCACAGTCGGTGAAAATAAATGTGAATTTATGGGTCTCTATGTGAGTCTATGGGTCTCTATGTGAGTCTATGGGTCTCTATGTGAGTCTATGGGTCTCTATGTGAGTCTATGGGTCTCTATGTGAGTCTATGGGTCTCTAAGTGAGTATATGGGTCTCTATGTGAGTCTATGGGTATCTATGTGAGTCTATTGGTCTCTATGTGAGTTTATGGGTCTCTATGTGAGTCTATGGGTCTCTGTGTGAGTCTATGGGCCTCTATGTGAGTCTATGGGTCTCTATGTGAGTCTATGGGTCTCTATGTGAGTCCATGGGTCTCTATGTGAGTCTTTAAGTCTCTATGTGAGTCTATGGGTCTCTATTTGAGTCTATGGGTCTCTATGTGAGTCTATGGGTCTGTATGTGAGTCTATGGGTCTCTATGTGAGTCTATGGGTCTCTATGTGAGTCTATGGGTCTCCATGTGAGTCTATGGGTCTCTATGTGAGTCTATGGGTCTCTATGTGAGTCTGTGGGTCTCTATGTGAGTTTGTGGGTCTCTATGTGAGTCTATGGGTCTCTATGTGAGTCTATGGGTCTCTATGTGAGTCTATGGGTCTGTATGTGAGTCTATGGGTCTCTATGTGAGTCTATGGGTCTCTATGTGAGTCTATGGGTCTCTATGTGAGTCTATGGGTCTCTATGTGAGGCTATGGGTCTCTATGTGAGTCTACGGGTCTCTATGTGAGTCTATGAGTCTCTATGTGAGTCTACGGGTCTCTATGTGAGTCTATGGGACTCTCTGTGAGTCTATGGGTCTCTATGTGAGGCTATGGGTCTCTATACAGGTCTATGGGTTTCTGTGAAGTGAGTCTATGGGTTTCTGTGAAGTAAGTCTATGGGTCCATATGTGAGTCTACGGGTCTCTATGTGAGTCTATGGGTCTCTCTGTGAGTCTATGGGTCTCTATGTGAGGCTATGGGTCTCTATGCAGGTCTATGGGTTTCTGTGAAGTGAATCTATGGGTTTCTGTGAAGTGAGTCTATGGGTCTCTATGTGAGTCTATGGGTCTCTATGTGAGTCTATGGGTCTCTATGTGAGTCTATGGGTCTCTATGTGAGTCTATGCGTCTCTATGTGAGTCTATGGGTCTCTATGTGAGTCTATGGGTCTCTATGTGAGTCTATGGGTCTCTATGTGAGTTTGTGGGTCTCTATGTGAGTCTATGGGTCTCTATGTGAGTCTATGGGTCTCTATACGGGTCTCTGGGTTTCTGTGAAGTGAGTCTATGGTTTTCTGTGAAGTGAGTCTATGGATCTCTATGTGAGTCTATGAGTCTCTATGTGAGTCTATGGGTCTCTATGTGAGTCTA